GGAGAAGAGTACTTATGGGTTGTATTTCCACAGGAGCCTGTACGGGAAGGCGCCCCCCCAAACTGGAAGAAGAAAGAGAAGTTACCCCAAGTTTCCAAGTCCTGGCATAACTACATGTGCAATGTGAGGCACTGGAGATGGTCCCCCAAAATACCTCACCCCAATACCTAGTCCCCTGCCATGAGTACAAGCAAAGGGTCGGAAGCCCTAAGGGTGGGGTGGGGTGGGGTGGGCTGAGGAGGCCAGGCCCTCACCACCCTCTGGGTTCTCAGGAGGTGATCCAGGACTTCCAGGCCTCCGTGCTTCAGGTCTCAGACTCTCCCTACGATGAGCAGTGAGTAAGGTCCATGGCTGAGTGGTGGGAATGAGGGTGGGCCTGGAGCTCAGAGGGGATTTGCAAGCACCCCAGGCAGAGTATTGCTCCTTCCTGGGCAGGGTGGCTGCGCAGATGCCCACAGTGCATTATGAGATGCCCAACGGCTACAACACAGACTATGGCGCTGAGCGACTCCGCATCCCTGAAGGCTTGTTTGATCCTTCAAATGTCAAGGTTTGGCTGGATGTAGAGGAGGCTGAGAAGGATCATAGGGGTCTTGGGGGGAGAGGCCAGAAGGCCCAAAGTCCAGGTCATATTTCCTTATAGGGCCTGTCAGGGAATACCATGTTAGGTGTGGGCCACGTGGTGACCACCAGCATTGGCATGTGTGACATTGACATTCGTCCGGTAAGGCCTGAGCCTATGACTGGGCAGAGGGCCCAGAAGGAGTGGGGAAAGAGGAAAAGGCTGTTCCCGATAGACTGCCCCTCCTTCTTGCTCTCAGGGCCTGTATGGCAGTGTTATTGTCACCGGTGGGAACACCCTGCTTCAGGGCTTCACTGACAGGCTCAATCGAGAGCTTTCTCAGAAGACTCCACCGGTAGGAACCCGACTGGGGCCCTGGACTTCAGTCTGGCTAGCCCTTGGGCACTTTGTCCTTCCTCCTTCCCAAGCATTGAGTGCTCTGTGGTTTCTCAGTCTTACCCAGCCCCAGACCTGTCCCTTCCCAGAACCCAAGTGTCTGCTTCCCCAAGTCTTTCTTTCCCCCCAGAGCATGAGACTGAAGCTCATTGCCAGCAACAGCACTATGGAGCGCAAGTTCAGTCCCTGGATTGGGGGCTCCATTTTGGCCTCACTGGTGAGAAGGGAATGGGGAAAGGGGCAGACCCAGAGAGTCCTTACCGTTTTGCCTGCCTCTTTATTCATTCATTCAACAAATATTTTTTTAAAGATTTATTTATTTACACATACAAGAACTGGGGAATAGGCTAGAGGTGTGGGGGTGAGAGATTTCACCAGAAACAGAGTTGGGAGCAGAACAGGCAGGTGTACTGAAATACACTGCTGAGGGGAGCAGTGGGCGGGGTCAGGAGAGGTCCGCCACTCCATGTCATCTCTGTGGCTGGGGATTGAACTTGTGCTGTAGTTAGCTTCATAGTGCTGTGCTTTAACCCACTGTGCCACCAAGGAGGGCCCCAGCGAACATTTCAGGGAAGTCAGTAATTCCAGAAGGGTGAAGACTTCCAGAACACAAAGCAGGGAGCAAGTAGAGAGAAAGCTGGAGGGGTTGGTTGGGGTGAGATTGTGATGGGCTTGCGTGTAGGAAGGGGCACCTGCTGTACTTTGCAGAAGGTAGGCACTGAAAGTTTGGGGCAATGTGATCATGTGATAGTCACAGGCACATTTGGGCAGACTATCAGGCATGAGTTTTTTAGGGTATCAGGTTATAAACTGGACTCATGGGGACCTTTCAAGGAGGCTCTTACTATTTGCCCTGGAATCAGAGTGGGTAGCAGTAGGGGTGGGTAAAACAAATGGAAAATGGAGACAAAAAGAAAAGGAGATAGGCAAGGTGGTTCCAAGGTAGTAGGTGGGGAGCTCAGTCAGAACCTCTGCTGAAGCATATGCAAGATGTTGAGTAGGGAGCTGGAACTGCAAATTGCATCTGGAGGGTGTCAGCTGCGTAGAAGGGAGAGGAGGGCCATGACAGGACAAGAACAACCACTAGAGGAGGACCCCCAGGAGACAAAAATGAGGGTCAGAAAAACAGGAGGCTGCCATCCTGATCATCGCGTGGAGCCACGTGTGCTGGACGTGGACAGGCAGCTCACACAGCCCCCCTACCTCCATGAGCAGGGCCAGTCTAGAGGCCACGGCAAACAGGAAGTGGCCACAACATGTGGGAGTGTTCCTTCAAGTCAGGAGCTGATCCAGTTGAACGGTTCCTAAGGGCACTTCCATGGAACATTCAAGCTGACATGGGAAGAGTAAGAACTCAGAAGGTAGAGGGGACCATGGGGAAAGTCAGGCAAAGACAGGGTCAAAGGCAGTAAGTCAATGCCTCAAGTCGGACTTCAGGAAGCTCATTTGCAGACTGGATTGGACAGGGCTGCTGTGGTCTCCACTGTGATGGAGTATGACAAAAGAGTGGATTTGACGGGATGGAACTAACTGCAAGTTTATTAGAGAATGTGGGTATGGTTTGGATTCAAGAGGGAAGAGCGGGAAGGAATTAAGATGGAGGCCCAAGACGCTAGCTTTTGGAAGTGGCTAGAGCGGAGCTGTCCAACAAGAACTTACTGTGAGCCAGTTAGATATTCAGGTTTGAAACTCAGCACTGTGATCTATACTAGAAACAGGAGATGGAGTGGGGAGGGGGGATTTTAGAGCATGAGCAGAAGACAGGGTGTGGATAAGTTGGTCAGGGGGCCTGCTTTGTTGTCCAGGACAGAAAAAGGGACAGAGCCAGGAACCGTCACTAACTTTCAGGCAGCGACAGTGCAATCATAAAGAGAAGAGACAGACTGAGATGCCCAGTGCAGGAGACCCTCAGGGGCAAGCTTCATGTATGGGGTGGGGAAGGCACACCAGAGCGGGCAACTCTGTCCAGAGGAAGCCGTTTCTAGGAATGAGTAAGACTGGACTTGTTTGTAAGGAGCAATGTAGTGACAGGATACTCGTGGAGGAGGAATGTGTGTTGGGGAACCGACTGGCTGGCTTGGGTTGTCAGCTCTACCACGCAGCTTGAGAACAGAGAACACCTGGCCCAGGCAGATGAGGGCTTTACAAATACTTGTTGGATGAATGAATCATCGAGGAACAATTCGCCCTCTGAATATAATGCAGGTCGGACTCGATAGGGGGGAGGGTATGTGGGTCTGGGAAGCAGCGCCAGGAGGGTCGCGCATGCCTAAGCCTGCACCCGTGGAGGGAGTCGGGGGTGGCCCCGCTCTCTCCAGGCCACCCTGACTGCCCATGTCGTTTCTCTCACCAGGGTACTTTTCAGCAGATGTGGATCTCCAAACAGGAATACGAGGAGGGCGGAAAGCAGTGCGTGGAGCGGAAGTGCCCCTGAGGGCGCCCCTCGCTTTCTCCGCCCGCCTGCAGCGATGGGGGAGGGGCCGTGATAGGGGAAGAATAGGGTCCCCCCGCCCCCCCTCCGCAGGTCGAAGCCCCCAACTCCTTATTGTCCCCATCTACCCCTCCCCCTCCCTCCCATTCTCCTTAGATTGTGACGTTTCCAGTTTGAAAGGAGTAAACATGTTTTAAGAAAAATTAAGTCTGGTTTTCTTGGGGGACAGTGGGGTCGGTTTGGAGGGAGGCAAGGGAAGACCACACCTTTGTCCATTCGAGATCCTAGGGTGGACTCCGGGCAAGGTCTGAGGGCGAGGCAGAATCCCAGCAGCCACGGACGCCTCAGGTTTCAAAGGGGAGCCGAGGGCCGGGCAGAAAGCCGCGCACGGGCGGGAGAAGGGAGAGATCGCGGAGGCGGGGGCGGGGCCCACAGGAGGCCGGGGGTGGGGCCTGGGGCGGGCCTGGGGGCGGGGCCTGGGGCGGGCCTGGGGGCGGGGCCTGGGGCGGGCCTGGGGGCGGGGCCTGGGGCGGGCCTGGGGGCGGGGCGTCAGGCCTCCGGAAAGGGTGCTCCTAAGGACCCCGCCCCGACTTGCAGCTCTGGGGGTTGGCCAACTGCTGGGCTGTCTTTGGGCCCCGGCTTTTGGAGGTGACGGAGAATGGGGCAGAGCTGGGGGCGCTGGTGCACCCCAGCATCTCAGAATGTCTGTCCCGATTGGGTAGTAGCTGAGGTTTGCCCCAGACCCTTTTATTCCGGAGCTTCTTGTCCTGGAATCTTAGGCGGGGACCGTGCCCCCTTCCTCAAATTGTGTGTGAAGTTTAATGATTGTGCCTGGATATGTTCACGGGGTCCTCAGGCCCAAGAGAAGTAGAAACCCGTATGATCGACTACTTTGGTAACTGAAAAGGCGTGGGTGCCCAGGGAGGACTGTTATTTGTTCAAGGTCACCCAGCTCAGATGCCTGGTGGGGCTTGCCCAGGTTCTGGTCTCGGTCTAGGAGCACGCTCTTGGGTCTTGCCAGATACATGCTCCTCCCCAGCAGCCAAGGAGAGGTTGAGACCTGCCTTTCAGTCTGATCCTGAAGAGACAAACATCCACTAGGCCAGACCGAAGTCCCCCACCGGGGGTCACACCACTGTGGCACTTTCAGCTTAGGATCCCACTGGGGCAGGTGTCTGGAACAAGGAGGGTACTGGGGGTCTGCGAGCCAGATGAAGAGACCTGGAGGACCATGGAAGGGGTGTAAGCAAGAGGGGGAAGAGGCATCCCTATCTCCGCCCTCCTCAGTCATCAGCCCTCCACCCCCAACCCTGCCAGTAACTAGGAGGTCAAAGTCTGCCCCAAAGTCAAAAAATTGATTGTTTTGCAGGAAGGGGGCAGGAGCAGGATAGTGGTGGGACTGACCCCTCATTCACTAGCGGGGGCTGGTGGGCCATGTCTGGGAGGCTGGACTGAGGCCGGGACTGCACCCCCACCCTTAGGGGAAGGGGGACAAGGAAGGGCCTGGGTTTAGGCTGCCTGCTAGGGCTGATAAGGTGCCCTCTGGGGCTCCCACAAACGGTTTATCATTGCCTGAGGGACAGCCTGCAGGGCTCAGGAGAGGACACAAGCATGGAGCGGCTTTGGGGTCTACTCCAGAGAGCGGTAAGACAAAGTGGACTTGGGGGACACTTTAGACCTTCTCTCCAGCCCCCTCCCAAACTCCAGGGTTGACCCTCCCCTCCCTTCTCCAGCAGGCCTCTCTGGTGCCCCTGCGGCCAGCCACCCCCGCTTCTCCAGCAGGCCTCTCAGGCCCCCTCCCCTGCCTTATGCGCATGTGGCACCTGAGCTTACTAACTGTAGTATGGCCAGATTTGCCCTATTCCCCAGCCTCTTCCCTCCACCTCACGCCTGCTGTGCTCTCCCCAGCAAAGCTTGTCACCACGATCCTCCCAGACCATCTACAAGCCTGTGGAAGGCACCCAGCAGGGCCATCTGGAGGAGGAGGAAGACAGGGAGGTAGGGGCTGAACCACCAGCCCGCTTCTGCCCCATGGAGCTGAGGGGTCCCGAGTCCCTGAGTCCTACAACAGGGCAGCGAAACCTTGGACTCTGGGTGGCAGCAGGACGAAGGGCCGCCCCTTATCTGGTTCTCACAGCCCTCCTGATCTTCACTGGGGGTAAGAGACATCCCCCTCCCCTCAGTGAAGGGCCTGGGCTGGAGGGAAATTTATGGGGTCCAGAGAGGACAGAGGGAGAATCTCCATCTTGTACCCACCAGCCTTCCTTCTGGGCTACGTGGCCTTCCGAGGGTCCTGCCAGGCATGCGGTGATGACGTGTTGGTGGTCAACGAGGACGTGAACTATGAGGTGGGCCTGGACTCCCAAAAGGGCACATTGTACTGGAGTGACCTCCAGGCCCTGTTCCTGCGGCTCCTGGGAGAGGGCTACCTGGAGGACACCATCAGGTAAGGATCCACCTGTCCCTGCAGACCTCAGAGCCCTCACTGACTTCAAACTCAGCCTCTCTTCTCCCCCTGCCTGTCCTCTGCCCTCTGTCTTCTGATCCTTCCCTCCCACTGTTCAGTTGTCGGAGAAGGTGGCAGGCTCTTGGAGCTGAGCGAGGGAGGCAGTTTGGAGAGGAGGCTCAAAGGCTCGAACTCCCAGGGTGACACATTTGGGAATCTGTGGGAGCTGACTGAATGATAACAAAGAGCCCTAGCATCCAGATATGAGGTGGGATACATCCAGAAAAGCTTTGAGTGTCATACCAAGGGACTCAGATTGTGACCTAAGGACGGGGAGCGCTGAGGATGAACATTTTGAGGGGATCAGAAAAACAAGCAAACAAATACAAGTTTTTCCATGGATTCCCCTGGGTTTTCCAAGTAGATAATCATCTAAGCTATAGATAGTGGGAGACTTTGGCTTCCTTTCCAATGTTTGTAACTTTGTCTTTTCATTAAAAAAAATGTTTGGAGGCAACACTGGCTTACAACTCTGTATATGAGGCAGAGGTAGAGGATCACTCCTCTTTAGGCCACGGTTGGGCCCCCTCTGCTTTGCCCTCCCGCCCCCTCTGGTAGCCTCAATTCTACAGTCACATTTGTAGGTCATGTTTTTGCTCTGGTTTTGTGTGACCTCTTGTTTTGTTTCTTTTTGAAAAAAAAATTATTTATTTATGCATACAAGAACTGGGGTAAAAGCCAGAGATGCCGGGGGCGGGGAGGTGAGAACATCCACCAGAACAGAGTAGGGAGCAGAACAAGGAGATCTACTGAAATACACTGCTGAGGGGAGCGCGGGTGACACAGGAGAGTGTGCTGCGCCATCTGGGTTATGTCCTTGGCTGGGGACTGAACTCATGTTGCAGTGGCTGGTGATAGTTTGATAGTGTCTTTAACCCCTGGGAGGCCCTGTTATGTTTCTTTACATACTACCTATAAGTGAAACGGTCCATCCGGTATTTGTCTTTCTCCTTCTGACTTACTTTGCATAATCCCCTCCAGTTTTTCCAGGTTGTTCCAAATGACTAAATACTATGGTTGCATAGTATTCTATTTCTTATATTTGGTATATACCACATCTTCTTAATCCACTCATCTGTCTTGAGTGTTTTCATTTCTTAGTGCAGAGGTCATTAATATGGGTAATGACTTTATTTATTTTAAAGATTTATTTATGTATGCATATAAGAACTGGGTATAGGCCAGAGGTACAAGGGAGAAAGGATTTACCAGAGACAAAGTGGGGAGCAGAACAGGCAGACCTACTGAAACAAACTACTGAGGGGGGCAGAAAGTGAGACAGGAGAAGTCTGTTGCACCATGTGGGTCACCTCCTTGGCTAGGGGTTGAACTTATGCAGCAGTGGCTGCAGATAGTTTCACGGTGCTGTGATTTAATCCCTTGTGCCATCCGGGAGGGCCCCTGTGTCCTGTCTTTAGGAATTCATGTTTACAATACTTGGTCAGTAAGTGTAAACTTTGCTACAGTCTCTGGGTAGCTTTTAAAATCAAATTAAGGAATTTACCCTCTATTCCTAGCTTACCAAGATTTATTTTTTTGATGATCAGGAAAGGAGTAACAGGTATGGAATGTTTTTCCAAATTTTTCCAGAATGTACTGAGATGATCACTTAATATTTCTTCTTTAATGTTTATGTAGTAATGTACTTTTTAACCATCTTCCAGTTTTATTATGTAGTAGTTTGTATTAATAGATTTCCTTGTCTGCATGAACTCAAGGCTAAACTTGATTAAAGTGTGTTATGAGTATTTTAATAACCTGGATTTGCCTTACTAAAAGACCTTAAATTTGTGACATCAACTGTAGTTAAAAATTTAGGGTTTGGGCCTCCCTGATGGCACAAGGGGTTAAGTCTCAGCACTATAAAGCTATCTGCAGGCACTGCAGCATGAGTTCGATCCCCAGCCAGGGAGCTGACCCACATGGCGCAGCAGAACTCTCCTGTCCCGCCCGCCGCTCTCCTCAGCAGTGTGTTTCAGTACATCTGCTTGTTCTCTTCTCCACTCTGTCTCTGGTAAATCCTCTCTCTCCCCCCACCCACCCACCCTGCACCTCTGGCTTACACCTTAGTTCTTATATGCATAAATAAGTAAATCTTTTTTAAAAAATTAGGATTTTAAAATTTGGTAGTCTGAATACAGGCTGAGCAGGTGGATGGACGGTTTGAGAGGTCGAGGGCTGGAGTGTACTGTTGTGGATGCCATCAAAGGGCAGGGAGGCAGGAGGGTGGCAGCAAAGGAGGGAACAAATAATGACTCTAGGTTGTATGGGGAAGGAAAGGAAGCCAGTAGGAGCACAGACCTGGAGAAACTGGACTGTCTGAAGTGTTTGATGGGGTTGAGGAACAGGTATATTGAGGGTAAGGGGGCAACTTAGAATCTGAAAAGATTCTGGAACTTTTCAAATTTGTCTGATGAACTGTGTCTCATTGATACTGGTGTCTCCAGCACTACCACAGTGCCTTGTACTTAGTGTTTAGTAAATCTTCAGTACATAAACATCTGGAGATGGAGTTCCAGGTGATGACAAAATCCATGGTATAGCCAGGGGCATGGATGGCCAGCTTGGGGTGGCACTGATGCTTCATTTATTCATTTGTCTAACAGAGATTTTGAGCATCTGCTATTGCAGCAGGTGCTAGGCTAAGCAGGCGGTGATGATAGCAGAGAACAAAACAGTCTGGACTTTGTCATCATGAAATTTACAGTCTATGGAAGGAAATCAACACCAAATTATTAACTACACTCATGACATAATTACAACTGGAATCAATGCCTTGAAGGAAAAGTAACGGGTGTGAGGAATGACTCTCACTAGGGGGAACCTAGTTTAGCCTGGGGCAAGCTGAGGCCTGAGTGGTGAGTCAGCTTGCCAAGCAAAAAGGTGAAAAGGCATTTCAGGTTAGAGAACTGCTTGTACAAATGGTCTGAAGCGGGAGGATAGTGGGTGGTCTACTAGTAGAGGTAAAAGTAAATCTATGTGGCTCAGGCCATAAAGGACCTTCTGGTAACATGAGGTGTTGTGGACTTTATTCTAAGAAGAAAGCATGAGAAAACTGAAGAGTTTATGTGATTAGATGCAGGTGGGATATTTTAAGGTCCAGTGAAAGGAATGGAGTCAACCCAACTCCTAAGACCGAAGCACAGTGTCCTTAGTGAAAAGGCATCCTGGTAAATTTTCCCTCACACCTCACCTCCAGAAGCATGCCACCTAATAAGCTGGGCATGTGCCTTTAAATAAACACGTGGCTGTCATGTTTTATGCACATATGTAGATTTTTCAAAACATTGTGTATGATGTTTTAAAAAAATTATTTACTTATGCATACAAGAACTGGGTACAGGCCAGAGATGTGTGGGGAGGGGGGGTAACAGGATTCACCTGAGACAGAGTGGGGAGCAGAACAGTTGGGTTTTCTGGAAGACACTGCTGAGGGGAGCAGCGGGAAAGACAGGAGAGGTCTGCTGTCAGCTCCCTGGCCGGGGATGGAACTCATGCTGAAATGGCAGCAGATAGCTTCATACTGCTGCTTACCCTTGCAACACCAGGAAGACCCTCAAATGTTCATATTAAAATTTAAACGACATGGAAAAAATATCGATCCAAGACTCACTCTGCAGATATAGTTACTCTAGTATGTGTTTTTACTTAAACTTTTTTCATGTAACACTTTTCGACCTCTAATTCAGTAATATGTACAGCTGGTTTATTGTTCCTCACTGCTGCACAGACATGAAGCATTCACTAACAGGTGCAGTTTCAAATACCTGAGCCCTTGAGGGGACTGGCTGGGGGACAGGAAGGGTGCTGAGGAAGCCGGTGGATCAGGGACAGTAAGAGAACAATATTCCCAGAGCTCACAGGGTGGTGATCCACATGGATTGTGAAGTGCAGAGGCACCATGGTTGTGGGGAGGAAAATAAGCCAGGTGCCAAAATCTTCGATCAAAAGAGCAAACGACTGGCTGGGAGGTAACAGCAGAGAGGAGGGTGGGAGGGCTGGGTGCCATGGGCCTCAGCGTTTATCAGGGGAAAAATGGTCAGAAACTCGAACAGCAGAGCCAGTAGCCTCCACTCCAGGCCGTGTAGGAGAACCCAAGTCATCTTCTTCAAGAGGAGACCTGGCCAAACTAGAGCGGTGGGTATTCAGTGATGGCGTTCAGGGAGGGCACAGGTGGACCCAGGTGACGGGGAAGCCGTTCAGTGGCTGAGGTGAGATGGAAGAATCGGAAGTTTAAGCTCACCAGTCAGGTGGCAACTGTGGAAATCAAGGTGAGGTTTCCAAAGAGGCAAGGGACTCGCGAATCGCCACTTGTAAGTTGTCTCTGAGATCCAGGTGGAGGGTGGACGGTTCCCCACCTTTGCCCAATTAACACTTTGTAAGAAAAGTGTTTTCTTGTGGGGGCAAAGCACAGGCCAGTGTGCTTATGAGGAGAAGCAGCGATAGGTGAGCTCTGCCTGAGCCTGGGAGCGCAGAGGGCGGCAGGCAGTATGGCCTGACCCAGCAGGAGGACCTGGGGACTCTGGGTGATGGGATGGGTGGCCCTGACAGGGTGAGGGAGAGACTGAGGAGCGCCCCACACCCAGGGCCTTGGTCCGCGCTCCGATGCCACCTCCCCGTGTTTCTCCCCTCCAGTGCCCCAACCCCACCTCTTCCCGCGCAGGCAAATCAGCCTTCGGGAAAGGGCAGCGGGCTCAGGGGGGATGGCCTCCCTGGCTCAGGACATCCGCACCGCGCTGTCTCGCCAGAAACTAGACCACGTGTGGACCGACAAGCACTACGTGGGGCTGCAGTTCCCCGACCCGTGAGTGCGTGGGGACGGGGCGAGAGGCGGAGTCGGGGCTGGGGGGGCGTCGCGCGTAGTGAGCGGGGCGTGGGCGCTCAACAGCCCCACTCCTCAGGGTTCACCCCAACACCCTGCACTGGGTCGATGAGGCCGGGAGGCTGGAGGAGCAGCTGCCGCTGGAGGACCCGGACGTCTACTGCCCCTACAGCGCCACCGGCAACGCCACGGTGCGCGCCTCCGGCTCAGCCCTCAGGAAGTGGGGGCGGGAGGGGGGCAGCAAGCCCCCTTCCCTGGTGGTGGAGGGGCTGGCGTGGCGCGCGCCTCACTGTCCTCTCATCTCCAGGGCGAGCTGGTGTACGCCCACTATGGGCGGCCAGAGGACCTGCAGGACCTGCGAGCCCGGGGAGTGGAGCCGGCGGGGCGCCTCCTGCTGGTGCGCCTGGGGGTGATCAGCTTCGCCCAGAAGGTGAAGGTCCCAGGATGGGGAACTGGAAAGAACAAGGAGGGGGCAGGATGGGCAGTCCTGGGACCTGCTCTCAGAGAGAAAAGAACCACGTGGGTCCTAAGAAAATGGTGGGAAGCAAAATTAGTAGAGGGGCGGGGGAGCAGAAAAATATGGGCATGTGAGGTCTCGTGAGGTTTGAGGGCTGCCAAGGCACTGCAGGAGGGAATGAAAATGAGGGCCAGTCCTGCCCACAGCCTCCCTGTGGTAACCACAGTTGCATGTTGTTTCACTTGCATTTGCTCTTCCTGCCTTATAAGTTGGTTTTCTCTGAAAGGAGTCCTTTAGCCACTGTCTTTCCCAGGTGGCCAGCGCCCAGGACTTTGGGGCCCGAGGGGTGCTCATATATCCAGACCCGAAAGACTTCTCCCAGGACCCACACAAGCCAGGCCTGCCCAGCCATCGGGCTGTGTATGGACACGTGAGTCTTTAAGAAGTCGGTAGTGCCTTCCTGGGTCAGGCCCCATCTCCTGCCTGGGAGGAGGCTGGCACACTATTCCTGAGAGTCAGTCCAGCCCCACTGTAGGCACCCCTCTCCCCACAGGTGCACCTGGGAACTGGAGACCCCTACACACCTGGCTTCCCTTCCTTCAATCAAACCCAGTTTCCTCCAGTCCAGTCCTCAGGCCTACCTAGCATCCCAGCTCAGCCCATCAGTGCAGACATTGCGTCCCTCCTGCTGAGGTGAGGGACATGTGGGGGCCAGGGGAGGGGACAGGGTGGGGTAGGCTGCAGCTGGCCTATAGGTGCCTTTAGGTGAACTAGGAGACTGGCTCTTCTGGGTGAGCAGGGCCCACCATTTGATGGGTAGAGCTCTAGCTGGATTTCATATTCACTTCCCTGGACACCCTTGAGCAGGACACAACCTACACAATTGTCCGAGGCAGGACTGGTAGTCAGGTGCAGAAGCAGCGAGGGAAAGCCGTTGGGTTGGAGGGAATGAACAGTGAGGAGAGGACTTTAGGGTCTTCTATAGCCCCGGCCTCTCTGCCACTTCTAACTCTTTCTGCTCCACTGCTTTCCAGGAAGCTCAAAGGCCCCGTTGCCCCCCAGGAATGGCAGGGGCACCTCCCAGGCTCCCGTTATCGCCTAGGCCCTGGGCCAGGCCTGCACCTAGAAGTCAACAACCACAGGGTCTCTACCCCGATCAGCAACATCTTCGGCTGCATCGAAGGCCGCTCAGAGCCAGGTGTGCTTGCTTGCCGGGCATCCCCAACAGCCTATAGGAGCTACTCAGAGATGAGAGATGGGGCTGGAGCAGGGGTCCAGGAGGGGGTGAGAGAGGTGCCCCAGGGAGGGAGGCAGCTTGATTGAAGTGGCGGATGTGGCAGGGATTAATTCTGAGGCAGGATGGCAAGCTGAAGCTGACCAGGATGAGGGAAGTGGCAGTGAGGTTCCACTGTCAAGCCTTCCAGAGTTCTGCCCAGCAGTGAGCTCCCGTGCACTGGTGGATGAGCTGAGTGAAGTCTAGAATGAAAGGTCAGACTAGATAGATAACTTTCCAGTGTACCTGGATGTGTGTAAAGGTGGGGAATCAAAGTGGGTTCTTGCGCTGGGGTGTCATTCCTTTAAGAACTCAGGGAGAGGTACAAGGAGGCCCGGGATGGGCCTCAGCTGGGATTGCAGTAGTGGGAATGTGAGAAACTGTGAGAAACATAAAAGGATAAAGTCTGTCATCAGTACAGCTGAGGTAATGGAGTCCAGAATGACTCCAGGCACTTCCTGGAGGAGCAGGACCCAGGGGAGAGCTGTTCTTTCTGGGGACAGCAGGGTTGAGGGCTAGGTTTGCAGAGATGTGAAGGACTGAAAGATGGAGACTGATGGGGGAGCCTGGAGAAATGATGGTGTGGCCCTGCCTGCACTCACCTTTCAAACACCCTCCACCAGATCACTATGTTGTCATTGGGGCTCAGAGGGATTCGTGGGGCCCAGGGGCAGCCAAGTCAGCAGTGGGGACTGCCATACTACTGGAGCTGGTTCGAACCTTTTCCTCCATGGTGAGCAATGGTAAGGTCAGGGGCAGGGCCTGGGCAAGGCGGTGGGCTATGAGCAGAGCCAAGATGGGGAGAGAGGCAGTTAGGAGCTCAGGCTGCAGGGTGGCCAGACTTGGGGTCCCAACCTGGCCACTCATTCCCTACCTTTGTGATCCTGGGCAAGTTATTATCTCCATTTCCTTGTCTAAAAATGAAAGTAATAATCATCCATGGTCTGAGCAAAGAGCAGGAAGAAATTCCATATGTAAACAATCTCCATCCCACTGACAGTTGAGTCAGACAGAGTCAGACAGACCCAGGGGAGGGGGACTGGGATGGGAGTGTGGTGAAAGGGACAGAGAGACTGTAGGAGATGAGGAAGAAGGAAAACAAAGAGGGGGGCCCTTGCTTAGCCCCCAACAAAGCCCATCCTCTCTGCCCCTAGGCTTCCAGCCCCGCAGAAGTCTTCTTTTCATCAGCTGGGATGGAGGTGACTTTGGGAGTGTGGGCTCCATGGAGTGGCTGGAGGTAATATGGGGTCCTAGGTAGATGTCAAGCTGTGGGGAGAGTTGTAGGGGGGTTCCACACTCCATATTCCTCACCAACAGGGCTACCTCAGTGTGCTGCACCTCAAAGCCGTCGTGTATGTGAGCCTGGACAATGCAGTGCTGGGTGAGCAGGGAAGTGCCATCCCCTGGGCCCTGACACCCCTGCCTTCAGGCCAAGTCTTGAGCCTGGTGTCCCTCCCCCACCCTTTCTGCAGGAGATGACAAATTCTATGCCAAGACTAGCCCCCTTCTCATCAGTCTCATCGAGAACATTCTAAAGCAGGCAAGAGCCTAGTCAAGAGCAGGAGAGGCACAGGTGAAGGGCCGTTGGTGGGAGCCAGAGCCTGACCTTCCCTCCCCACCCCCCAGGTGGATTCTCCCAACCATAGTGGGCAGACCCTCTATGAGCAGGTGGTATTCGGCAATCACAGCTGGGATGCCGAAGTGTAAGTTGGAGCAAGAGGGAAGGGAGGAAAGCTGGAGGAGGTGAGGGGGCACCTGAACCCACACAGCAATCCCGCCTGCCCGCCCTCAGGATCCGACCACTGCCCATGGACAGCAGTGCCTATTCCTTCACGGCCTTTGCGGGGGTCCCTGCAGTGGAGTTCTCCTTCCAGGAGGTGAGACGTCCCTGCCCGGCCGCCCCAGCAGCAGTTCCTGTCCTGGTCTGCAGCAGGGCCCAGTGCCAGCCCCCTACCCGTTCCCACAGGATGGCCAGGCATACCCGTTCCTGCACACGAAGGACGACACGTATGAGAACCTGCACAGGCTGCTGCAAGGCCGCCTACCAGCTGTGGCCCAGGCGGTGGCCCAGCTCGCGGGGCAGCTCCTCATCCGACTGAGCCACGATCACTTGCTGCCCCTGGACTTCAGCAGCTATGGGGATGTGGTCCTCAGGCACATAGGCAGCCTCAACGAGTTCTCTGGGGATCTCAAGGTGGTGGATGCCAACCCAGCTCCCTACTACTGGGGGTGGGGGTGGGTATAGCCCCTTAAAGTGCAGCCCAAACCCTCCTCCCAGGTCTTGGAGTCTTGAACCCCAGTCTCTTAAGTCCCTAGGACCGGCTCCCAGGCGGGCCCGGCTCTTCATCTTCCATCTCCACCCTTCTACCGGCATTCTGTTCTCCTCTACTTTGCCATCTCCTGCCGGGCTGGGGGTCCAACCCTGTTCCCCCAGCACCTGCACCCCCATCTGAAGCCGGGGTCCTAGCCCCTGCCTCCAGATCCAGTCTGCACCTCCGCCCTCAGGCCCGTGGACTGACCCTCCAGTGGGTGTACTCAGCGCGGGGAGACTACATCCGCGCGGCCGAGAAGCTGCGGAAGGAGATCTACAGCTCCGAGGAGAGCGACGAGAGGCTGACGCGCATGTACAACGTGCGCATCATGAGGGTGAGGCCTCTGCTGGTGCAGCGCGCCACCCCATCTCCTCCCACGTGGGTACCTGGGCTCTCCCGGGTTCCTCTGCTAGGGACACTCTTCCACAGACCGGGTGGGCTGGAGCGACCATTGAGTTAGGACCCGCAGAGCGATAAAAAGGATAGGCCCTTGGCCGCAGTCGACCAGCCAGCCCTGCGGATGGCAGAACTGAGGGTGGGGGTAGGGTTGGGCATATCCGGCCCCCCCAAAGTGCTACCCCCTACTGCTTCCGCACCCCTCCGGAGAGACAGCATGTCCCTGATGGGCGCAGAACAAGAGGCAAGGTACAAAAGGCTTGTTATGAAATTCAGCAGGAAGAGCTCTCTTCTGGTAATTAGATGAAATGCAGGAAGACTGCTTGGAGGAGATGCCATGTGAAAGTTAGCCAAGATCTTATTCCCTCACCAATCACTGCTTAGCTTTGAACACTTTGCAGCTCCCCTCCTCACCTTTCATTTCTTCATCTTAACAACTCAATCCTGCAGCCGACTGGTGTTGGAAAACACGTGGGACTGTGGGTGTGGGGAAAGGCCTACCAGTCAAACTCATCAGTGAATGGAGGGTGAACAGGGAAGCCACTGTTTACCCACGCAGTTTGGGGAACTCGCAGATGCCCTCTCACCTGGCCTTCTTCCTGGCCATTGTTCTCCCCCCCATGCACCCATTCCCCTTTCCCACGGCATCACCCACTCTTTCTGTCCACAAGCCCGTCCCTCTTGCTCTCTTGTCCTTGCCCCTGTTCCTGAGCCCTCTTGGCCTCACTTCTTCGCTCCTTCGTACCTTCATCATCTCCCACTTCCTCATCTCTCCTCCTCTTGCCTTTGTCCCTTCCCCTGTGGTAAGAGTGGATGTGCCTGGTTCATCACATTTACAGATCTTTGTTTAACCCTTGCTGTACCAGACTTCATGAACACAAATAGTCATCTCCACTTCCACCCCATGCCCGAAATTGCCTCCCATTCCCACCCCACACAAGGCATCTGTGAGTAAGGGGTAGAGTAGGGACAAGTCTCAGGTTCAGGACTTAAAACCCTAAAACACAGCTCATGCAGACCCAGGAAACTTTGTGGCTCTAGAACAGGGGTTGGCAAACTATGGCCAGCAAGACAAATACGTCCTGCCTCCTGTTTCATAAATAAAGTTGTATTGCAACATAGCATGCTTTTTGGTTATTGTGTTGTAGGTGGCTGCTTTGGTGCTACAACAGCAAAATTCAGTTATTGCATCAGGATAGGATGGCCTACAAAGCCAAGTATTTACTACATGGCTTTTTGCAGAAAAAAAATGCTGACCCCTGTTTTAGAGTGTGACTGGGTCTTGAAGTTCAGACAGAACTTAGGTTGGTGCAAAGAAAAGACTTTCCAGGTTGGTTGGAGACCCAGAAGAAGGGTGTGACATTGAGACAGAGCACGGACCAGTAGAGCCTAAAGAGAGGCCTGGTGGAGAAGTGGAGGGGAGAGGAGCACTGAATGATGGTCTAGGGGTCAACTGTGGGGAGTCTTGAGTGCTAGGATTAGTTTTCAAGTTTGGGTATCAAGGAAATTAGGCAAGGTTTGGTGATGTGAACAAAGTGGAATTTAGGAAGAGTTTGGCCACGGTGTATATGACCTGAATAAAGAATGAAGTTACTGTGAGCTAAATGCTGGCAGAGGGTGGCAAAGGGTGGTAAGTGCCACTGGGGGTGGGGGAATAGACTGATGATATTTAGAAGGAAACAAGGAAAGACTGCGTGTTGAGGGCTACCATTTGCTAAGAGCTTATTTCATTTTGTTCTCCCAAAATCCTATGAGTTGCTAGTATTGTACACAGAACTAAGGCCACAGAGGCTAAGTAACTTGCAGTCTGACGCCAAAACCTGTGCTCATCTACCGTCACTCACCTTCTGAGAGGCTAGCACCTGGGGAGCACAGTAGTTTCCTAAAAGGAATGTGGGTAAAGCGCCAGGCTTCAGGAGAGGCTGATGGAGACATACATGTGTCTGTGTCCAGTGCTTCCTCCCCCTGGGGTGGGGGGCAGAGGCTGGAGGGCAGGATGATTGGGTGAGTAGGCTTGGTAACTGTGCCATGAGGTCCTGCCTGAATCCAGGGGTCCAGATGTCTCTGTGAGTGAAAGATGTTGGCCTTACACAGGCATGAGTGAGATCCCTAAAGATTCTGATTTTGCTGGGGCAGTGCTGAGGAATGGCAAACCTTCCCCAGTGACTGTAATATATAGCAGGGGTTGAAAACTGCTGGGATGTAGGTAAAAAGGAGAGGAACTCCAACGTGGACTTACCCTCACATAGGAACAGGAGGAGCCAGAAAGGTAGAGAACGGAGCTAGGAACAAGCCATCTCAGTAAAGATGTTAACAGCTGAGTCAGAATCGGGTACTTCACTGGGGCTGGGCTGCCTGCTTGACCTTTGGCTCTGGCTTGTGGACACTGGTGGAGGCGGGGCAGAACGACTAGTTTACTAGAAGGTGTGGCATTAAGAGGAACAAGACAACAGACTGTTCTTTGAGGCTTAGGATGGGGGGAAGTGAGTGGGTGAGGAAGACTAGGGAGACCTAGATACAGGCTCGGAGTAACTAACAGTCTGACCCGAAAACCTGTGCTCACCCCACTGTCACTCACCTTCTGGCTCAGAGGCTGGCACCTGGGGAAGACTGTAGTTTCCTAAGAGGAATATGAGTAAAGGATCAGGAAGCAGAAGGGATGGAACCCAAAATACACTTGGGGCACATTTCGTACTTGGCTACTGATGATGTCACCAAATGACCTTTCCTGATTGGTTAGCCAAAGGGAGGTGGGTCTTAAAGAGGGGCTCAACACTATTAAACATACATTGTAGACCCCAAACTAGACTAGGAATGGCTGTTCAGGCCCTTTGCTCTGAGGCGCAGCCCTCACCCAGACCTGATCCCCTTCTCCATGCAGGTGGAGTTCTACTTCCTGTCTCAGTATGTGTCACCAGCCGATTCTCCATTCCGCCACATCTTCCTGGGCCGTGGGGACCACACACTAGGTGCCCTGCTTGAACACGTGCGGCTGCTGCGTTTTGGTAACTCTAGGGACCCTGAGGCTTCCTCTTCAGGCGTCTCATCTGCCCTGGGCTTCCAGGAGAGCCGCTTCCGTCGCCAGCTGGCCCTGCTTACCTGGACACTACAAGGGGCAGCCAACGCCCTTAGTGGGGATGTCTGGAACATTGATAACAACTTCTAAGGTCCAGCGTGGGTGTATAAGGGAACCATCATATACCCCTGCTTCCTGCTGAGCGCTCCTTCCCTCACTTGAATGATTTCTGGGTGATCGAGGTCTCTGTGTACCACCTGTGACTGCTGACATATCTTTCACTAGCCCTTATCTCCCCCTAGCCTACAAGCCAACACTCACCTACATGCCAACACTCACCTACACACACTTAACTCAGCACCTATAGGAATGAGTGAGAACAGTTGCATAAAGAAGGGCCATACTGGGCTCTCCCTGGTGGTGCAATGGGGTAAAGCACCACATTATGAAGCTCTCTGAAGCCACTGCCACTAGCTTGATCCCAGGAAGCTGACCCTTATGGCAGGCGGCAGACCTCTTCTGACCCGCCTGCTGCTCCCCTCAGCAGTGTACTTTGTCAATCTGCCTGTCCTGCTCCCCACTTTGTCTCTGGTGAATTCTCTCACACACCAGTTCTGGCCTGTACCCCAGTTCTGTAAGCATAAAATAAATAAATATTAAAAAAAAAAAGGGTCATACTGTCAGCTAGTCAGTGAACAGCATCCTTTCCATCAACCACAGCCTACCACCACCCTGTCGACTCTCCCCTTCAAGAGAAGATCCTTTCACACACACTTCCACCTACCCACTCCCCCCCAACCCCACACACACACCCCTGGAGACCATTCTAGAAAGTTTCCTAGCCCTGGAACTTGGCCAGCTGTCTTGATGGGAGAGATGGCTGGGACCATAGCATGTGGACAACAGGTGGCCTGTGATGGGAAGGACTGAGGCCAGGCTAGGTGTAAGCCACCTAGTTACATCTGTTGTTTATAAGCACCTTTATGCTTTTTCATCCTTACTCTACCCAGTTGTTCCTCCCTAGAGATCTCAAGAAGAGATGGGCAGAAAGAGCCAGAGAAAATGCAGTGGGAATGCTATCTCCATGGGAAACTCTAGCTGTGCTGGCTACTAAAGCAACTAACAAACTGCCTGATGAAATAAGGAGGGTCATTCTTCAAATACCATGGGTTGGAGGGTTGGTTCTCTGTCTGATGGAAGTGGGGACACTATAATTTGCACTGCCTGGTGCCTCTTATTCAGAAAGCAAGAACAAGGTTATTTTTTCCACAATCTCCAACTTGTCTTGGTGGTTTTTTATTTGACCTTTACTGTCCAGAACCTCAGACAGGGAGGTACTCATGGCTGTGTTCTACAATTTGGTAGCTAGCATATGTTCCGGACCCAGACTGGGACCCTCCCTGTGCCTGTACCTGGTGCCTTGCTGGACAAGAAAGTTAGTAGGTGGGGGCAGGGAGCTGACAGGTAAGAACCCATCCAGGGGAGGTAGGACTCCTGGCACATGTTTTGTACTTACAAAAATAAATTCAAAGATAGTCATTAACCCACAAACATGGCCGCCCGCTGAGTACAGGGCCTTGTGAGTCTTTAGTGGCAACACAACTGTTATGTTGGCTTGACCTGGGACCTGTCTCCCCAGGGTTCCTTTGGCCAATCTGTGTGCAGTCAGGTGGGACTTGTAAGAGGCATCGCAAGTGCTGCTGGTTGCTTTACCTTTAATCAGTCTTGGGAGCCTCGGCTCTCACTGCTGGGACAGCTGCATAAATCCTGGCACCTCTTGTTGAGTGTGGCCTGAGAGGTGCTACCCAGCTCCTCGAGAGGCTGCTAAGTGAAGACTTCTTAGTCTCTGGCTCAGGATGTCCAGTCTCTGGGTTCCAAAGTGAAACTGCCTCTTCCTTGACCTTCACTTGCTAGTTTCTCAGGAGCCTGAGCTGAGGTCAGCAACTTGTTTGGCTGCTTGCTTCCCTGACATGCAGTTTTCTAGAGTGGCTTCTCAACCCTTCCTCATCCATTTGTTCCCTGAAGTAGAAAGAGTTGCAGTCTAGACACAGATGTATGCGTCTTAACCCCTGGAACCTGTTAATAAATGTTACCTTAAATAACAAAAAAGACTCTGCAGATGTGATTATATTGAAAAACTTGAGATGGTTGGATTGTGTTCCCCCAATTTATGTGTTGAAGCCCTAATCTCCCAGCACCTTGGAATGTCTCTATATTTGGAGACAGAACATTTCAAGAGGCAACTAAATTAAAGTGAGACCATTAGAATGGGCCCTAGTCTAACTCCATGGAGTTCTTGTAAGAGGAAACAGATACCCAGGCTGTGCCCACATGGGGGACACAGTTAGGCATGGCCATCTGAAACCCTAGGAGAAAGGCTGCAGGAAGCACCAAATGGGGTGACATCTTGGACATCCAGCCATCAGAACTGTGAGAAAATCAATTTTCATCATTTAAGTCCCCCAGTCTGTGGCATCCACAGCACGTTAACAGGGAGATTATTCCAGATAGTGGAGGGATAATACAATTGCTAGGGTCCTGTAGAAGGCAGGAGGGTCACAAATAGAGAAAACTTGTCTGACAACAGGAGCAGAGGGTGAGAGGCAGAGATCTGAAAGTGCTACCCTCTTGGCTTTTTGGGGGGTTGTTCTAGTAATTGAAAACAACACTTATTTTTCCATTCCTAGCCTTAAAGATAGAGGAAGATGCCACAAACCAAGGAATGTAGGTGGCCTCTGGAAGTAAAAGACAAACATTCCCTTTTCCCCTAGTGCTCTCAGGAGAAATGCAGCCCTCTGACAGCTTGGTTTTATTCCCAGAAGCCACATTTTAGATTTTAGGCCCTCCAAAGCCACTAGATTGTTGTTTTAAGCCACTAGATTGTTGATAAATTGTTATAGCAGCCACAAAAAACTAATATACACCCACTGCAACTACCTAAGCTGAGTATTCACTTCCAAAAACTTTAGAAAACAATGTGTATGCCAAGTACACCCACTCCAGAGGCTGCTTCAAGGCTGCCTCTGAAAGCCTCTCTGTCACCACCAGCAACAAGGCCTTTTTACAGCAAATACCGACAGTGTTATGAATGTTCAATTAAATGCCTTCTGGGGGTCCTGGGCACAGCCACTCCAGTATGATGGGTCAGCATTTGTACATGAGCCACCTGGGGAGTATTTTGCTGCAGGGGGGTGAATCGCATCCTCACTCCTAGACACAGGGTGCACACCTGCCTCGGTACACCACAGGCCTGCCCTACTAGCTGGCCAGTGCATGTAGGAGGGGCAAGGCTCCCCTCTAAGCAGAGGGGCTGCTCCCTGGGCCCCCAAAGTGAAGCTGAGACACCTGATAATCTTTCAGTAGCAGAACAGATAGTCTGTTTTAACATTACTTTGCCAGGTTTTGTCCCCAGTGAATAGTCTGCCACTGCCTCTAGCTGCCCCTCTTTCCTCTCCTCCCCATGCGTTTGAGGGAAGACAGGCAGGTTGAAATCCTGCCTTTCCAGGGGCCTATTCTTTTCCCGTGACTTAGTTTCTCCTACCTGGCTAAGCTGCAGTTATGTCAGACAGGCCACACCCCCATCTTGTCAGAGACCTTGCTATTTCTGGCCCAAGGAGTTGAAGTCTTAAAGAAACAGACAAAATAAAACCTAGCAAAGGGTCAAAAAGGCAGAAGAGGAGTCTGGAGATTGGAAGCATCCAGGAAATCTCAGTAGGAGGCTCCTGACAGTGACGTTTGAATTCTACAATGGGTAGGATTGTTGTTGTTTTGGTGTGTTTCCTTGGGACAGAATCCTATTTTCCCGCTAAAGAGAATCACCTTCCCAATTCCTTCATCTTAGCGGCAGAAGCTGCAGTGCACAGAAATTAAATGACTTGTGCAAGGTCACAGCTTTTCAGGCAGTGCGAGGACTAGAACCAGATCTTCTAAAAGCCCCCAGGTCCTCTTCACCACCCAGGTCCCCTAGGAATGGGAGCAGAAAGGAACTAGAAGAAAAGAAGTGGGAAGAAAGGGATAGGTTTCCTACATTCTTCAGTTTAATTTTAAAAATTTAGTTTATTCAACTTGGAAAATGAATACAAATCCCTGGGTATTTCTGTCAGGGTGGAGGTGGGGCTGGTGGGCAGGAAGGACAAAGGGAGGAGGAGCAGAGGCAAGGTCTGGGCATCACAGTGGCTGTCTCACATCCCACATCACTCACTTCCCATGGGCAGGGTGGAGGTTGAGCAGGGGGCTCAAGTTCGAAGGAACACCATGGTGAGGAGGCCTAGGGAGGGGAGAAAGAACAAGATCCTCTGAGCAGCCCTGGGGCTGTGTTGCTTCTTTCTGTCCCTCAACAACTTTCTTTTTGGCCCAGATCCCCAAGTCCCTACTATACTCACCCAATACGTAGGCTGCCACCAACTTTTGTCCCAGGGAGACGTGCAGGACTTGGGGCAGCTGGCTGCCAAGTTCATCCTGAAGTGGGAGCAGTAGGAAGGCCACAGAGATGATGCCCGTCAGCAGGAAGAGGAAGAAGGAGCTGGTAGCCAGTTGAGGGCGGGGTTCTGGGAAACAGAACTTGTCAGAAGCTCTAGTCCCCTCCTGCCTAATCCCAGGCTCTCCAGGGAAGAGGAAGAATGTGAAAGCTGTGTCCACTTTTATTTGCCTTCCAGAGGCACACTGCAAGTGCCCTCCCCTCCCTCAAGCCCTCCCTGCTGCAAGAAACCCTCTCTCCGCTGGTCCCACAGCATCCTTTATATCTACTTTGACTACTGGTTCCTGGCATACCTGCCAGGCAGAGCCATCTGTCTCCCAAGCCCAGCACACAGCTTGGTATAGCATAATCACTCAGCACAGTTTCTTGCACTGAACTGAACTGAGCTGGGATGTGATAGAAAGTAATTAAGTCACAACAAAAGAAGAACTTTTTTTTCTAACTAGATTAGAAATCAGTGTGCATGGGGGTGCCTTTCTGGTGGTGCAGGAGGTTAAATCACAGCACTTTGAAACTATCCACAACCACTGTAGCATGAGTTCTATCCCCAGTCAGGGAGGTGACCCACATTCTGCTCTCCACTGTTTCCGGTGTATCCTCTCACACCCCCACCCCCACCCCCCAGCATCTCTGACATGTACCCCCGTTCTTGTTTGCATAAATAAAAATCTTTAAACAAAAATCAGAAATCAGGGAAACTGCAAAGTCTGCTTGTTCCCAAACCTGATATAAAATCTTAAAGTCCTAGAAATGTCTCTACCAGATACTGAAGCAGAAGATCTTTTCTAATCCAGTTTGAGTTCATTTCTAGGGTACCACTAGGTGGTCCCTCCCTGCAAGGCTCAAGAATCCCCAATCCAAACTCACTCTCTGGGAAGTGTCTGGCTGTGGGTGATGCTGTCCAGGAAGGAGGCCCTGGGTGAGGTGTTGGGTCAGGCTGGCCCTGAAGCTCAAGGGGATATGCTGGGGCCCTCAGGACTGAGGTGATGTCCTTCCGCCCCACCACTCTGCCTTCAGCTCCCTCCTCAGAAAGCTCAATTCGGAAGCGGTCCTGGACATCATAGTGGCTGGGAGTGGGGGCCACATGGCGAATCACACTGTTTCCAAGACAGAGAGAAAGTGAATGCTGAAGCAACCCAAATGGACCCAGGTCCCACCCTCCCAGAAGCCAGAAAATAGGTTGAAGAGGTCTAGGTCTCAGACCTTCAACAACAGTACAAAAATTCAGAGGAAGGTGGTAGGTTCCATCAACTTTCCCACCCTCTAACTCACATGTCAATGCAGGACTGAGGCTTCACATATCCTTCTGCGTCAAACACTGTGTATTTGGCAGGTGCAGTGCACAAGACTGAGAGATAAAGGAACACAGAGACCCACTATTGCCTCAGAGATCCTGTACAAGCCCTATCCTCGTTGCCTTCCACCCCAAGACTGATCAAGCCTCTTCCAGTCCGCCAGGGCTGGACATCTGATGGCGCTCATCTGACTCCTCCAGCCCACACAGCCTCTCCATCGCCCAATGTCCTGCCGCCCAGCCGCCAGCTCCCAGAACCCTAGCCCCAAACGCCCATCCCTTCACCTCGAAAGCGAAGCACAGCTCCAGTAGGGTTATAGAGGGTCAGCAGCTGCCGGGGTCCGCTCCGCTGGTCCGCCCTGAATACTAAATCCAGGGGAAAGACGAGCACCGGGACAACAGGTCCCGAAGGAGTAGGGGCGCCCCGGGACCCTCGTCCAGGAGCCCCGGAACCCACGAGCTCCTGGTCCTGGGGCGCCCCACGGCGCATGCAGGCTCTGGTCGGTGGGACATCCGAGGGCAGAGCTCAGGGAACAGGGCCCGGAGTTTACAGCTGGGGGTCGAGAGGGACAAAACGCAACGGGCTAAGATCGTGGGGCAGGGCCTGGTCCGAGGCCGCCGCCGCCGCCTTTGATTCCCGCTAGCTGAGGCGCCAGCAGATGAGGCCCCCATGGCCTTTCTCTGGCCAGCTCGTCCCGGGTCCCTCTAGGCCCCGCCCCCGAGCCCCACCTCGACGGTCACGCCCACCTCGCAAACCCAGCCTCTCGCAGTTCCCACCCCGGGTCTAGTCTCCAGCCGGGTTTCCGATCTTCAAAAACTCCACCCTGTCGTAGGCTCCGCCCCTTCCGGGCGTCTCGGACGCCCCCTCCCCTTCTCTCTACCTATCCCCCGCCCCCTCCCGCCCCCGATCCGGGTCTCTCACTCCGCCTGCCCCTGCGGCCTCCTCTGCAGCAGATTGGCGGGCAGGAGTCCTGTGTCCGTACACCCGAAGTCCGCCCTCGCCCCCGCCTCGAGCCTCGCGCTCCTTCGGGTTTCCTCCGCCAAAGGCCGCTCGTGCCACGATGTTCACCTTCTGGCCAAAGCACCTGTCCATCAACTTGCGGCCCGACCGGGGCTGCCATCTTCCCAAGAAATCATTTCTGCACTTCCGCCGTACGGCCTCTGTCATTGGCCAGGACGGCCTCGTGTCCACATAGCTATGCGCCGATTGGTGCGTTGAAGCCTTGTCTGGCTCTTAGTGACGTAAAACGTTACGGCCCCTCTGGCTACTATTCTGGAGTAGCTCGGGATGCTCTGGGAGCTGTTGGGTGCCGACTCCTTACCCACTCAGACGGTCTAGATGACTAGAAGCATATCCCACATGGAGGCTCTTTCTCTGCTGCAGTTCCTGGCTCTCCTAGAGGTCTGTGCAGCAACCTAAGCCGTTTTCAATAGTACTAGTTGGAGGTTGCTTCCCATTGGACTCGCATTACCGCCCAGGGTTCCTCTCCTGATTCTCCCCTGCATGGGACTCAGAAGTTACAAATACACTGGGAATTAAGATTTACTAACTCCGCCACTTAACACCATCCCATCGACTCCTTTTACAAACGAGGAAAACATTTGTAACTTCATTTACAAATGAGGAAAACAGCAGTGAAATTGCTCTTCTTCTCTAGAAGCCTTTCTTGAGGGCGGTCAAAAACAATGTAGAATCCCCCTATTGTTTTCTTCATAGCAACCCTAGCGCTATTTTATTGTTCATTTCTGGCACCAGTAGTTACCTCTCTCCACAAGAGCCTTGTTGTCTTCGAAAACTTACTGTCTTCTATTCGGAGGGACAGATGACGGGGATGAACTGTGAGCTGAGATCTGACTAAAGCTGGGAAGCCACTCATGAGATCTTTAAAGAAATCCGGACAGAAAAAAACAGGTGTACCGAAGTGCCCAAGGAGCTGATGTGACTAAAACAGATGAGGTGGAGGGATGCAGATAATTCAAGCCTTAGGACTTTTGATTTATTGAGAATCAAGGGAAACTATGGGAGAGTTTTCATTTATTTTCAAAAAACCGCTTTATTGTGATACCTTTGACATAAAAATTATGTCTAACTTGATGTTTTGATATATGTTGATCACCAGTTAAGCTAATTAATGTACCCATCATCTCTCCATGGTTACCATTGTGTGGTTGTGTACAGGAATGTGTCTGTTGAGGATATGGGAGAGTTTTGAGCAAAGGATGACAAGATTTGATTTATATTCTTAAAAAAGAAAATTCTGCATAGTAAGTGTCTATTGACTTTAATGAATGAATAAAACTCCCAAGATGGGTCCCAAAACCACAGAAGTGGCAATGACCCCTTCCTTAAACAAGAAACATATATTTGGATAGGGAAGGGGTTTCCCAGGGCTGGAAGCTGGCCTGGTCTTAAGCCTAGGACGCAGTGGCCCGAGCAGCCTGGGAGGGGCACTTCCTCTTGCTCAGGTTGGTGAGGATCTGGTTCTGGTTGGGCCGGAAGAGAACCACAAAGCTCTCTGGAGGAAGGACTGGACCTCGGTTCTCTTCCACCTGGCCCATCATCAGATAACTGGCTCCTGGGGGAGTGGAAGGAAAGGTAGCTTCTGTTACTGGAACTTGGCAGCTGAACCTCTTCAGCAGACTCCCTCAGATTCTACCCCTCTTATTTTATGAGGTTAATAAGGTTCCCCTTCCCATTTTCCCACATCTTTACCTTTCTTCATGGGGGGGCACTGCTTGCAGGGCACATAAAACTTCAGGGAGGTGTCAGTCGGTGGAGAGGGCAAGTCCAGACCACCAGTTTTGTAGACACCAATGAGACTGACAGTGACAGTGAGGCCATCTCCTGGGCCCCGAACCATGGATTTCACTGTTGCTGTCACAACTGTGGGAGAGGAGGGGTGAGAAGTGAAGCGAGAGGAGAGCAGGGCAGGGCAGGGACCAGAAAGGGGGTGGAGAATTTGGGCACAGGAGGGGTTGTTAGAGGAGCTGGAAGAGCAGAGTGGGGGAGTGCTTCTTACCCAGGTTGTTGTTACAGAAGTTGCTCTGCAAGGTACCCGACCGCCGACACTGCTTTGGGCAGGGCACACTGGGTACATCTAGGAGAGAGGGGATGCAGTTTGTGGAGGGTGACCTACCCTGCAGGTAGGAAGGCTCACGTTTCCTCTAACTGCCTCATAATTTGCTCAGATTCTACCCAGTTTTGGGTCCCAACACCCAATACCACCATGACCACAGAGGTGGCCCCAAGGAATATTATATGAATGAATGGATTAATCAGGAAGGAACTCTTTGAAACAAGCCCCTGTAGTCTTTGTCTCCTTCCCAGACTCACTGGGCTCCAGAGTTGCAGAGGCTTCTGGCAGAACTTTAGGTTTCTCTGCAGGTGGGAGTTTGGGCTTGATTTTGGGCCCTGTTCCAGGCTCAGGATCCTGATGGAGGATTGGGGGACCTGGCAGGGAATCTTTCCCTGGGCTCTGGGCTGGCCCTTCTTCAGCTGCTCCTCGAGGCACGGTCCTGTAGGAGGCTGAGAAGCCATCGGCAGTGACACTGAGGTCCGAGACAAACTGGACAAGGAGCTCGTTCCCTTCAGAAGAGATGGGCCTGTGGGTGGCGAGGCAGTGGGGCAGATGTCAGAATGGGCTTCTACCAGGCCTGTGACCTCTGCTAGACTGTGCTAACTTCCCTCACAGCCACCACTCCCTCTTGTCCACAGACTTCAGGACTGGCACAGTGGATTGGCACCTGCATCATCTTCTGGCTGCCCCCCACTTGCTCTATCCATAGGTTTGGGGTTCCCAAGTTCAGACCCCACCTGTTCAGCTAAGTGCCACCACTTCCAAGGGCAGCTGGGTCCCCCATTGCCCTGACTTCCACACCAGAAGTGGTTTGAGACCCAAGCAGCCCATCCAGTTGCTTACCCTGGGGCTGTGTCACCACAGAACTTCCCCAGTCTCTTGGCGTCATCATTAACTGCTCCATTGAACACACTGACAGAGTCATAGCGACAGTAGGTGTCTGGTTCAATGTCAAACTTGCCAAATGTCAGCGAGATCACCTGGTAGCAGGGCAGATAAAGGTGTGAGAGTTCCACACCTCCTCTCCCTCTCATCCTTTGAACCCCTCTTCATGGATTCACACCACAACTCAGAGGGCCACACCCATACAAACCTTGCAGTGACATGGGATGCCAGGTCAAGCAAGCTCCGGCTCATTCTCAAGGAACAGACCCAGAACCCCCAAAGACCTCCCAACACAGTTTATATCCACACCCTGTACCTCGCTCTCCTAAGACTTGTCACAGTTGCAATTTTACATTTTTTTGTTTGCCTGCCATCAGGTCTGGGTCTGCTTTGGCTCCCACCAGCGCAAGCTCAGTGGTCGGGACACTCAATAAATCTGGTGGCTGCATACTGGAGGACACTGCCTGGGTCCCCCAGGGCAGCAGAGCAAGAGGTGGGTACCTGGTCTTGGGGTGCGATGATGTGCCAGGAACAGCTGATACCAGGAGGGTAATCAGATTCGGGCCAGTTGGGTGTGGTCAAGGTCCCCTGGGCCTTCTCCAGCCGTCCTCCACAAAACTGGTGTTCTGGGGAGGGGAGAGAGGTGGGGGTGGGGGGCAGTGGAGACCCTGGGTCAGTCCCAGGAGAACTCTAGGCTGGGAGCCCCTGCAGGAAGTTAGTTGTCTGGGTCTCAGGCAGAAGGAATGAGAAGAGGGGGTGGGAAGGAAAAGAGGGGGCGAAGTTAGCAGAGAAGGGGCTTGGAAAACGGGTCTTGGGCCAGAGTGCCCAGGCGGGTGGTGGAAGAGGGGAGAATTGGTTGGTTATGCCCCCTTCCTTCTCCTCCCCCAGCCAGTGGCCACTCAGCTTCTCCGCTGGCAGATCCCATCTCCCCCGCCAGGCAAAAAGTCTCCCTAACAGGCTGCAGAGTCCCCTCGCTGTGAGGCTGTCTCTGAATTGGGGCAGAGCCCCTTAAGATCCCTTTGGGGAGGTCCCCGCCTTAAGCATTTTACAGGAGACTTTCGCCCCCAGGAGGGGGTGATGGGACCGCAATCGGGAGCCCAGGACTGGGTGTAGGGGGCTCCGGGTTGGGGAATCTAGTCCCTCAGCCCCGGGGTGACCCCTCGCCGCTGTCTGAAGGAACCCGATTGCGGATGGGGGCGGGCAGTTACTCACCATCCCAGTAACCCCAGGCCGCCCATTCCACCCGCGGGTCGGTGACCCATTTCCGCCTCGCGCCTGGGGGGGGGCCTGGAAGAGGGGGTGGGTGGGAGCGGGAGAGGGAGAAAAGACGGGGAGGAGGGACTGAAGGGGCAGTTAGTGAGGAAAAAGGGTAAGGGATGTAGGTAATGGGGCCTAGGCTCTTGGGCTGGGGTGTGCCTGGAGGTGGAGGTTAAGGCAGGGCAGGGTCTGCGCCGGGGGCGGGGCCAGGAAGGGGCGGAGGAGGTGAGGGAGGTCTCACCAGTGCCAGAGGTGGCCCTCCCGCTGTACCAGAGCAGGAAGCCTCGTCCTCCCGTGCCCTCGTCGGCTGTCATCCTCAGGGTCACCTGGTTGCCGGGAGCGACCACGGGTGCCGGTCGGAAGGTCCCGCAGAAGCGACCGAGCCGCTGACCCGAGGTTCCAGACCCAGCAAAGATCTCCAGAGCATCATAACGACAGGACGGGTGCAGTTCCAGGTCAAAGACTCGGAAGGAGAGGGACACAGTCTGGGCTTCAGGGACCTGAGGGCCACATACAGGTCACATACAACCCAGGCAGAGGGTACCTCCCTTTACCCAAACCTTTTCTACAGAAACTGAGCCTGAATAGGAAGACCCTGGTAGGTGCAGAGCCCAGGGCCTGGGTCAGCTGCTAGCTTGTGAGTTGAGCAGGGCTCAAGACCTGGGGGTGTACAGAGGTTAAAGGGGGCAGGAATGAGTTGGAGAATCAGGATTGAATTTTAAGGTGTGAGGACACAAGACAAGTTATTGTGAGCACTCATGCCATCAGTGAGCAGACAGGAGGAGACTTGAACATCCCACCTCCGCCCCCAAGACCTTCTTCACAAAGTGTTGCCTGGAGAGGGGGTCCCTTAGCAGTCACGCCTTTGCTGCCTGGACCCAGATCTCAGACTGATAAAAGAGGCCATCTCACCGTTATTATCCAGATGCACTCCTTATTGGGGGGGTAAAGGTTGGGGAAACCCTCACTTGCCACATAACCTGACTCCCCAGTCACATCCCCTCCACACAGGAACACAGGTCTGTGGAACAGAAGAGAGGTTGGTCATGAATTGGGGAGTAATGGAGAGCCTGAAATAGAGCAATGAGGGCAGCGGTCAGGGAGATCTCAGGGATCTTGGGTTGCCTTAGACAGTCATAATGGGATTGGAGAAGGATACACTCCAGCAGAGGATCAGAAAAAAGTGGGGCCAGTAGTTTGGTTGTCCCTCGAATCCCCAAGTCCCCACCCCCACCCCAATAGGAATTCCCGGAATCTTCCTCAGGGGGGCCTCCTTTCTTGCTCTATCCCCCCTAGCCCCGCCCTGCTTGGCAGTCTGGGACTGCAGGCGCCTAACTACTACCAGATGTGGACACAGCCACGAGGCGGTCTGGGGGAGGGGGCGGAGAGATGAGGGAGCAGCAGCAGCACTGGCCCTCAAATTGAACCTGGAAACCAGGCTGATCTCTCAACCTTTGCCCTGCTCCTGTTCTAGCTAACTACTTGAATATTTGACTCCTAAGCTGCTCACTTGCTGTCCCTTCTTCCCTTCACAGTCTCTAATTCCCTCCTGGCATCCAGGTCCAGTTACCAGGCAAGTTCAAGGTCCTGGTGCTCCCAGGACCGTGGGGGGTCAGGGATCTGGGTGCATGGGGAGGCTTAGAGGACAGAGGATAGAAGAATAGGGAGCAGTGGTGACTTGCAGGATTCCATGGCTTTATAGCAAGATGGGAGGACTTGGAGGTCAGAAGGGGTGTGGGCTGTGGGAGATATGGGTGTGTTAGCAAAGGGATCTGCAGGGTCCACAGGTATGGCCCCCCAGGAATTGGGGCTTTGGAAACTTACTCAAACAATCTGGAAGGTAACAATAGACCTACCTGGTGTAGTTGGGGGTCTGACCCTGGGTGAAAGGCAGCAGAGCCCAGGCAGTGAGGAGGAGCCCCGAGAGGGAGGCTGTGGCAGCAGGCAGCATGGCTGGGGGGAGAGGTGCTGGGGTCTTCGAGACAGAGGCAGCAGCTGAGTTTAGCGGCGGCAGCAGCAGCAGCGGCAGCGGCAGCAGGGATAATCAGTGCCAGATGAGACAGCCTGGGTGTGTGGGCGTGGGGACTGGCCAGTGGGGCGGGCAGGGAAGGCGGGCCAGGGAGTAGAGTGGGACAGTGGCGACTCCAGGGGCCTCTCTAGGTCCAGGGCTCTTACTGACTGAAGTAGGAGGTGGAGCATGAGGGGCATAGGGAGCAAGGAGCACCAAGGAATGTCACATGAAAGCCCACTCTGCCTGGGGCCTGAACATCCTGTCAACAGTCTGGTCCTCCATGAGCGCTCTCAGCCCTGAGGTAATCCTCCCCATTCCTCTGCACCCAGAGGATGTCCTTCCCTGGACTCCCAACTGCTAATCATTCACCCCTCCCCCATTCCTGGCTATCCTTTTCCAGTTTCTTTTCAATGTCTATCTTCAGGCCAGACTTGGCCAAGGACATAAATCTGCTCAATCATTTTCTGTCCCCCAAATCTGGAGGTACAGGGGTAGGGTAGGGAGGCTTGGTCTGTGGATGAAGGGAGTGTCTCCCTTGTTGAAAAAAAAGGGGAAAGATAACATGAGACCAAATCTGGAAGGTAAACTGGAGGAGAGGAAGGGCGTTGACTTCACAGGGATAAAGAGAAAGAGGTAGGAAGCCTTCTGGAGTCAAAAGGAAATGACTTCCTCAGGACTGGAATAAGTCTGGTAGACAGAGGATCCAAGTGGGGGAATCAAATGGCATATGTTGACAGAATTGTTTTTCCAGAAGGTGGGACTAGGCTTCCTAGTCAGAAAGACTGGATCAGGTCTTGGGAGAGGAAGGGCAGTCACTTGAAACTGGGACGGAAGATGTGCTAGCCACGCCTGTCTGTGTTCTTGGACTCCCTCACCCATCCAGTCAAGATCAGACCCCAACCACTGCCCCATTTCCCCCCCAGGCCCTAGGGTTCCAAGCTGGGCCTCATTTCAGCCTTTTATTCTATTTGTCCATCAAATCTCTTGTCCATGATAGTCAGGTTGGGGGTCCCTCCTGGGCAGCCCCCTGAACATTTTACAAAACAGTTCCCTGCCCTACCCTGGCATGTCTAGCAGTCCCCACCCCCCTACCCCACCCAGACACAGTGTTCATTGCTACCACTTCATTTTTCCTTAGCCCCTGGCCAGCGCCAGACTCTCCTTTTAGGGTGAGGCTAAGGGAAGTGGGGTCAGCTCTCAGGAGTTGGGGGGCCTGGGCCAACTCCTCCAGCAGCCCTCTGTAGCATGTCCAGGGCCTCCCAGAAGAAATCCTTCTGTGCAGCCATCAGGGGCATCCAGCCCACGATCTCCTTCATCTTCTCCATGCGGTCCTGCAATGTGGGGCAACTGTGGATCTGGCTGAGGTACTCCTCACAGGCCCGGGCTGCCCCCCCAGGGTCCTGGGGTGCTCCAGCCCCCAGGCTAGGCTCAGGGGTCCCCACCACCCTGCTGGCTGGTAGGTCCCGATAGGCAGGATGGTGCTCGATGTCATGGCTGGACAGCATGTAGAGGCACTCTCTGGTGGAGCAGAGGGAGCAGGCACACAAAGGGACCTTTGAGGAGAGAAGGTGCTGGCTGAGTGGGGCTTTTCCTTGGGGGGCGGTGTAGTCCCAGGGGGCCCAAGCTGTGTGTTCTTCCCTTTCAGACTAGCTCTGAGCCAGCAAGTGAGCTCTAGCTGGCTGGACCCGGTTGTATGAGGTCAGACAGAGCTCCAGGGTCTTCTAAGGGGAAGTCAGGAGCCACAGGACATGCAGGAAATGGAGGTGAGGTGGTGCTGGTGAAATGGGACCCCGGGGTCCCCGAAGGAACCCTAGTCTCAGTGCTCTGGGCAGCCTGCTCCATGTTCCTGCCCTACTTGTCTGCCCACTTGCCTGCCCCTGCTCTCACCTTGACATGGAGCTTGACGAAAGAAGCACTCCCCTTAGGCCAGCCAGGGAGGCGTCCTCCGGCCCCACAACCGCAGCCGAGCAGCTCCTTGCTGAAGTCTGAGCCCTGACTCAGCACCAGGGAGTGGTTGAGGCCACACCACAGGGCAATGGGGCGCTGGAGATAATGTACCTGAGGACACAGTCAAGGTTTCCAAAGGGGGAACACTGAGGGACTGGGACGCCAGGCTGGAGAAGGGTGATAGGTTAGTTCAGGGCAGAATCTATGGAAACCAGGAAAAGGAAGAAATGAGACCCAGTTACCCTCCACCTCCTGTAGGAGATCTGCCCTGGATGCTGAACTCAGTCCCCCAAAGTCTGATGACATGGAGTCTAATGCTTATAGCACTAGTTGGCTCCTTATCTTTGTTCCCTGAGACCAGGGACCAAACCCTGGTCTCGATTCCCTTTTTCTCAACCCACAAACTTGGGCTAGTTCAGCCTCTCATTCTGCCTGTTCCCTTCAAGACTGTCAAAGACTTCCTGTGTCCCTGTGCAATTCCAGCTCAGTCCTTAAGAAGGGCTCCTTTCACTTATTTCTCCCTTCTAGCTGCCTTCTGTGGCATTTCTGTTTGTTATAATATTATCTTCCAAAATGGCCCTAGTATGAAGAAACAGTTTCGATTTAGCACTGCGGGTATGCTGCCTGTTAGAGAAATAACTCGTATTTGTTCCCTCCACTTCCAGTAGCAGGTATTGCCCAGGTTTGCTCCTCAAATTTGTTCCAACTCTGGAACAGCTAGGTATTTCCCCTTTAGTTCTTACTATCACTTGAAAAAATTCAAATTCACACTCTTCCTCTTTCCTCAATCCAGAATCCTTTTTAAACTCACATGTTTGTTGGTGATACCATCTTTCTTTTTAAGGAATTTGATCAAAGAATTATTTATCTTTGTCCTACACCTCTCACTCCACATCTAACTAGTTTCTAGGATCTGTTAATTTTCTTAAAAAAAAAATCTCATGTTGGGGCTCTCCCTGGTGGCACAGCAGGTTAAAGCGCAACACTAAGAAGCTAAAGCCACTCCAGCATGAGTTAGATTCCCACCCCAGAGGTGACCCACATAGTGGGGGCAGAGCTCTCCTGACCCGCCTGCTGCTCAGCAGTGTACTTTGATGATCTGCCTGTTCTGCTCCCCACTTTCCTGGTGAATTTTCTCACCACTCCTGCCCCTCTGGCCTGTACCCCAGTTCTGTATGCATAAATAAATCTTAAAAAAAAAAAAAGAGAGAGAAAAATCTCATGTTGTTTATTCCTTCCCATTCTTACTGCTAATCTACCAGTCCCAGGCCCTTGTCTCAAGCGCTGTCATCACACACAGCCTCCCATGGGCCTCTCTCTCTAGGCTTTCTATGCAACATAGCCAGGTGACCTATTCTCAGTTGTCTGTGGGGGTTGTCTTCTCCTGCTTTAGAATCCACAATGACTTCCCTAAATTTATAACTCTCTAGGCTTGAACCCATCTATACCACCTCTCAAATCATATAGATTTCGAAAAAAAAAAAAATCCCCCAGCATTTTTACTGTCTCAGGTGCAACTTTGTGTGAAACATTGTACAGAACTCTTTCCTGATCCACACTCAAATTCTAGTTAACCCACTAGGCTCCATTCACATCCTATCTCTTCTAGTTACTCGACCCCATCCAGGTCTCTGCCTACCCTTCACTGAATTCCTCATTAGTGTGAACCATGGGCAAGACATGCAGCAGATTGACTTAAATTTCTGTAAAGAAAAGGGAAGTAGACTCTAAAGTAGAATCTAGGGAATTTGAAGCAGAGAGATCCAAGGGTTAGGGAGTTGGAGGAAGGGGGTCAGGATGAGACTTGAGGTGCAACAATCTTACCTGTGTGGGTTCCCCTCGGTCCATTTTGTCCCCTGTCCCCAGCTGCCCATATCTGTTATTTCCCTGCATAAAGATTCGGCCAAATTCATCCACCAGGCCAAGGTGATTGTAGCCAAGAGCACAGAATAGGATCTAGGAGGTAGGACAGAAAGGGAATGTGGGCATTCAATTCCCTCTAGAGAAGTTCTAAGCTCCAGAATCTCCCAACCATTAACCTGCCATCCCTAGTTGATCTCAAAGGCCTTGTCCTCTAGCTCACCCCTTTCCCTGGGACCCTTGTCCCTCCCGATCAATTATTTGATTGCTGTTTATATTTCAGATCTTGGGTTCCTTTCAATCCTTAGAGCCCCTCCCCCCTCTCATCTGCCCCACCCCTCCAGGAACCTACCTTGGCAGGCAGTGAGAGAGCAAGCGGCATCTGCTGGTCCAAGGGGTCAAAGGCTTGAAGGGTCCCAAAGAGATCACGATACACCCCTGGGGTATGCACCTCAAAATACACTCCCCCCTGGTCTGGGGGGTCGGGAGCCCTCAGCTCAGCAGCTTTGGGCACCCATTTCCTAGGGATGAGGTTCCCACCTGGGATGAAAGCTCCAAGATCTGGGAGTCTCATCCCCACTAGAAATGCATCAGCTATGATGTTTGGGAACCTAAACTTAACTTTTCACTAGGACACCCTAAGGAGTCCACCATTGAGCTGGAGGACAGTAAGGGGGCTGTTCATATTTGGAAGGTCAGCCTAAGGCTGGGGTCTGGTAAAGAAGGGAGGTAGTTCTTACCCGTGATGTACAAAGTACTGCTCTGGTTGGAAGCCATGCAGGCCACACGCAGGTGAGGCAGGCAACGGGACACCTTCCTCAGAGCCAGCTGCACTGTGTAGGAGCGTGGCTGGTCCAGCTGGGTTTCATTCACTACCAAAGAGTAGATTTTTCCTTCCTCTAAGAGGTGGGGGGAGGCAGACAGTTATGTGGAAGAAGGGTCCTCCAAAAACTAGATTAATTTTCCAACAGATTCCTAAGTCCTATGTGATGAAACAATTTATAGCCCCAGACAAGTCCTATCACCAAAAATAAGTCAGGAAAGACTTTCAGCACGAGAGATGAATGGAGAGAAAATCTAGCAGTTAGATTTGATAGAATCCAATTTGTGTGTTGGGAAGAATGATGTCTACGGATTCAGGGCTTTGCCTGACATTAAGGAGTCCAGAAGGTATGAGGCTTAGGAGTGTGAGCAAGGGGACATTAAGGTGGGGTGTGTGTGTGTTGGGGGGGGCAATTGGGGCATAAACTGAGTTGCTTGGCAGAGAGATGGGAAGGTTAGAATTTTAAATATCAAGCATTTGCTTAGAACAGTGGTTTCCAAACTTTTTTTTTTTTTTGCAGCAAGGCCTTTTGTTGATATGAAATATGTAGGATCCTAGGCTATGAGACAGACAAGAGCAGAGCTGTTTGATCTGAGACCAGGATGATGTGGCCCAAAGAGCCCTGTATGAGAAGCCTCTTCCTCTCATTCCTGAAACAGGTCCTGCAAAATCTGCAGGAAACAATTGGAAACTATTACTCTAAGCCTCACCTGTGAGGAGCAGTAGAGCCCGCTGGGTCTCCTGACCAACCAGCACAATCTGTTTGAAGCTCATGGAGTGGTGGAAGGTCATCTTGAAGACCCGCTGCCCACTGGACTGCAGATAGACCTCAACACAGTCACAGGCCCGGCTGCCGGTTGTGCCTACCATGCTGGGCTGCTCCCGAGTGGCCAATACATAGAGGTATTTTCGGTAAACAGTGTCACATCTGGGATCTGAGGCAAACTGTAGGAAAAGATGAGGTGTCTAGGATCTAGGGCCTTGGGCTCAATGAGGGAGGGGCAGCTGGATCCTGGGGGTGGGGGGAGGTGAGATGCTTGGGACCAGGGTGGGAAATGAGGACTCATTTTCTGGTTCCTGGCATAAGAGGGCAGCTGTCTTGAAGAGGCTATCTCAGGATTGATGTGGGCCTGGGACTATGGAGGAGGGACACGTCCTCAGCTGCCTTGGCTCTGCTACTCACATCCTTGGCTCCACGACACAACACAACATAGCGGCAGGCCCGCTTCCACTGGATTTGGCCAAGGGTGGAGGAGACCAGGGCATTTTTGAGGAAGAAGAGGGTCCCTGAGTAGTCGAGAATAAAAACGTGGTCCTTGGTAGGCAAGAAACGTCGGTAGCCATGGGCTAGCAGGGGGGCTACACTCTTGCTGAGGCAGCGGCGGCGGCCCCCAAATGCCTGGAAATACAGGCCTTTTGTGTCTGGAAAAGGGAAGAAGATGGAAAGTTCAAAGGTCAGGATGACACACAAGAGTAGTGAATCAGAGCTTGGGCAAACTAGATTTCTGATATCCTGGTATTTAGCTCCACCCCAGGACTTCTTCCAAAGGACATATGGGAAGCTTAGAAGATAGCCTCAACATCTGTATTTTAGTTCTCTCACCCACCTCTGCCCAGTACTAAGTGAGTACTTCATTGGTCCAATCTTGCATAGAGACATCAAGGGAAATGTAAAAATACACAGGAAAGCAGAGAGGGTAATAAAATGGAGTGACTGAGAAAGGAGTCACCTCTCTCACAGCTATGTCTGGCCCTGCTATCTGGATCAGGTCTAGATCATTATCTGACTCTACCTTGTGAGATAAAATAATTAGATAAGGGCTTCCTAGAAGGGGGTAGGTTTTTTTCTCTCTCAAGGGACACTAAATGTCAAGAGGGAGAGAGGTACTACTGGCATCTCATCTGGGTAGAGGCCAGGGATGCTGCTAAACATCTTAGAATGTACAACATAGTCATCACCCCTGGCCCCAACTTTAAAGAATGTCAACAAGGTTGAGAAACCTTGGTTTAGAGAAGGAAAACTCTAGGTTTGGGGTTTGGGTATGATACCTCTAGAGAAGGTATGTAGGGTAAGACTTGGAAAAATGTGACTATGCAAGGAGATTTGGCAGGGATGCTAGTAATGCGGCTGAGGATGGCTCAGTGGCCTATGTTGGAATCTAACATGTTTCTTCCAGAGAAAGGGGCCCTGGAAGGGTAGCAGGTCACCAGGCAACTTCATGGAGCAGGAGGGACCCCAAATAAGGTAGGGCAGATACAAAAGGAATAAGTTTCTTGGGAAGGTGTACAGTTAAGAATGGCAGCTCTCTTCCAGGGCCGGACCCCAGAACCCTGCTCTCGTAAGCGGGGACTGAGCCTGCGACAGATGCGTCTCCACACGCCCTCCGCATCGCACACTTCGTGGAAGTAGTGGCAGGTCTGGCCTAGCGCGACGACATCTCGGACTGGGAGGAATGAGATGATATGCTCCACCTGGGGAAGGAGGAAGTCAGGGATGAGGGCCCCTCAATACTTTATTCTTAATACTTACCCCTCCCCCAGGACTCACCAGCTCTGGGGGGAACAACTGAACAGAAATAGGGTTCCCTCTCCCCTTCTTCTCTGCACCCTCAGGTTCTGGGCCACATGAAGGGCAGCTCCGCTTCACCTACCCAAGGAGAAGATGGGGGCATAGAGTTTCCATGAGGGTCACATCTCTTTTTCTCCCTTCTTTCAGATTGTCTTTCATCAGCCATTATCTTGGGGGCTCATAATTCTGACTTGCAGCTCAGTGCTATCAAATCCATCTGTCTCTCTAGGTCTATGGGTTCCTCCTCTCTCGGTCTCCTTTCTGAGCCCAACTTCTCCAGATAACCCCTTCCCTACTCTCTGGCAGTCATCTTGCAGTCCCTTCCTTGTCCCCCCCACCCCCTCACCCTGAGACCCTCCTCCTGTCTGCACAGCCAGGTGAATTTTTGCAGCCTCCGTCTCCGGCTTCGGCTTCTCCGTACCATCCTGGCTGCCCCCTCCCTGCTTCTGCCCTCATCTCTCTGGGCCCCTGGGCCCCCTGTATTCAGCTCCCTGGCCCCTGTCCCTGCTGCCTTGCCCACACCATGCCCCTGCCTGGGCTTGGGGGACCTCTGGGGCCCCTCTGCCTCCCAAGCCCCTCCCCCATGGAGTCTGGGGCAGACAGACCTCTCTGTGACCTCACTGTCCAGTCACTGTGACCTATTTCCTCAGTCTTGCCTGGGATTTTCTCTTAGAAAAGCTCCTGGGTTCTAGCTTAACTGTGGTTCATGGGCTGTGCACTTTACAGGAGAAATAAAATGTGAACTATGGCAGATGATGACTACTTTCAGGGAGTAGTAGGTGTTTCCACTTGGGGCCCTTTTAACACTAACTGTAGAGAAATATTGGAGAATTTGTCTTATCTCAGCAGGCCAGGGCCTCCAAGGAATCAGTAGCATGAGAGTATAAGCTCCAACATCTACCCATCCATCCATCCATATTTGACAGGTGAGGAAGAAAAGGAGACCCTGCTAATGACTGGCTAGCTCATGAAAGCATGCACCAGATCAAAGATGGGGGTGGGGGTGGAATTCAGAATAAACTATTTACAGACTCATGAAAAACACACCCAAAGGTGGCCGCTTTCCTGGGACAGTAATGTCACTGTTATGTGAGAGCACCGTATTTATAGGGATCGAAAGGAGAGACTTACTCCCACAGCTTAGGGGAGTTACGGAGCTTAGGAAGCTTCTCTCAGTATCTAAGTTATTGACTTGGTCTTAGGGCAAGGGGATGGCATTTACGAGAAGAAACAACAAGTTGGAGTTGTATCTGTCCAGGTAGGGGCAGAAGATCTACACCAAGAAATCCAAGGGGCAGTGGGCTCCTTTAGAGACTCCAAGGAGTGTACCAGACCTCAGCTGGGCCGTTTTACCTATTTACATGTGAGGCAACAGGCTGTCAGCCACTCAATCGGACTCTCTTATTTACAGAGGCTAGCTAGCATAGGGCCCTCCTGATACCTAGGATGGAATTTTAATAATTCAATAAATGTTGAGATATTAACAACTGAGATGCGACTTAAACCCCTGCGTTCTTTGTGGCTAGGCAACAACATATTGGGAGAGGTCTTAAAAGGACCTCTCAGTAGCCAGAAAAAGCACTGCCAGGCTCCTCCTGTGACTGGGTCCTCTTTATCCACCCCATTGCACCTCGGAGGTGGAGAGGGGTCGCGCGGGGAAAAAGCCCACTGTAAAATCTGACCAGGCGGGAAACCTGGTTTCTGGTCAAGCCCTCTGTCTCGGTTTTCTCATTTGTAAAACGGAGGCTCCTTCCAGACGAGAAGGGCACTTCAGGCACAATTCCTGCCTCGGCGCGCTCCTCAGGGTGGGCTGGCCGGCGGGGCGGGGGCTCTCGAGGATTTCCCGGGCGCCCGCAACCCTCCCTCCAGGAGCTGGGCTTAGCGTCCGGTCTTAGGGGAGCCGCTCGCCAGGACGCGAAGGCCGTCACAGGGCTCAGTCTCCGCGGCCGAGATGACCCCACGATCTTTTCGGTCGCGACGACTCCCTGAAAACTGGCCTCAGGCGTCGCCTTACTCTCCCTGCCCTCGAAGTTGGCTCGTTCCCTAACACGTCCAGCTCACACACAATATTTCGGGCCCTGCACTGCCCAGCGCGCCACGATCACATTCTTTACCTCAGGCTCAAAGTTCTAGCTCACCCGCCTCCTCCTTAGCGAAGGGACCGCCTTTTCGCCCATGCTATTGGTAGGTAGAGCTGTTTCTCAGAGAAGAGGCTGGGCCAGGTTCCTCTCGGAGGCGTTAATTGGCCTTCTTGACAGTCACTCGTCTGTCTGGCTTGCGATTGGTCTACGTAGGGAGAGGACCAGGCGCCTCCGCTTGCAGTCTCTTCGCCTCTATCCCTCCTCCTAGACGAGCGCCGGCGTCCCCGCCTCCTGGCTGGACCTGATTGGCTTCATCTCCAGCCCTAAGCATTGTGATTGGATCCGGCTGCCGGGGCGGGCCCGCCTGGAGCGTTGGCCGTTGGCGAACGCTCCATTCTAGTCCCCCTCCCTTCCCTCACCGCCCTCCTGCGCCACAGTCTCCACCCCCCCGGCGGGTTCTGATTAGCCACCTTAGACAAGTCTGGGGACCACGATTGGTCCGCGGGGTCCCTAAACCCGCATCCTCCCCCCTGAAGCCACTACGGAGGCTCCAAGGAGGGGGAGGGGGGAGGAGGGACGGCCGGTCCCGTCAGTCAGGCATCGGGAGCCGCTGGGAGCGGATGGCGGCGGCGGTAGCGGCCCCACTCGCCGCCGGGTGTGAGGAGGCGACGTCCCCAACCTCCGTTCCAGGTTCTCTGGGTCTGCCTGGTAGCCGCAGTGCAGAGCGAGCCCTAGAGGAGGCCGTGGCCACTGGGACCTTGAACCTATCTAATCGGCGCTTGAAGCACTTCCCCAGGGGCGCGGCCCGAAGCTACGACCTGTCAGACATCACCCAGGCTGGTGAGTGCACTCGGCCCGGAGCCCGATTGGGACCCTCATTTGCATAACCCCGCCCCTCGCTTGTTTCTCACCCAGCCCAGGGTTCTGGCCCGCCCCTTCACCGGGGGGCCCGGGTTCTGCAGATTTATATTTACCCCCTCCCCACCGTGAGAACTACTAGACAATGACTGTTTTTATTGTTTACCCGGGAACGCTAGGCATCTCTGGCCAAGTTTTGGAGAGCCCCCACAGCCCTGTACTTCTCTTTATTTGTATATTTGCGCACCTGTGGAATGGTCCCGCCCCTCACCTGGGTGGCTCATTTGCATGGTCTTTTATACCTCATTTCTGATATTTCCCTAAAGCAGTCCCCTCGCGGGCTGCCCTCATCGTATACATTTCTTTTCCTCCACTTTCTTTCGTGTTCGATGGAACCCCCAGCAGCCCCAGGCCCCATCCCCCTTCTCTGGGATTTACCCCTAACCTGACTGCTGTTTCTGGCGTACTTTGTAGTCCCGCCCCTTGAGGTCATCATCATCCCGCCGGCCTATGGAGAAGCAGCAAATCTCTTACCTCCCCTAACTTTTTTTCTCCCAGAACTCTTCCTCCTATTACCGTCATCACCTTATTGAGACGACTCAGCTTGAGGTCACTAGAGACCAGTGGCCTCATAAGGACTCTAGAATTCCCATTTCAGTTTCTGTTTTCCCAAGGCGGGGGTGGGGGGGGGCGTGGGGGGGTATGATATGAGGCAGTCGCTGAAAAGAAGGAAATCTAATCTAAGAGTGTGGGGTGCTGGGAAGCTAGAGACTGTGCTATCCGTTCACTTCCCCACCAGCAGGCTCCTTCTAATTATGCTCCCTCCACTCTATTGTCTGCTGATGGGGGGGTGTGGGGGACTACTGTAACTGGTGAGGCAGGCCTCACCTGCTTTGGAAGCAGCCTATGGCCTTGAATTGGCAGCTGGGTAGTGGGGATTGGGAGAGAGGAGGAAGGCTGCATTTCTAGAGCTCCACCCAAGCCAAACCCTGGGTAGGACTTGGGGCTGGAGAAGAATGTTTTCTTGGTGATACTGCCCTGGGAGTGCATTCCCCCCCCCCCCAGCAGGTGTCCATTCACCTGCAAACATTCAGTCGGGCACTGCACTCTGGGAAGAACCTGTTTAAACACCTTCACTCTCCTTGGGTTGCTGGGTAAACAAACGTGCTCACTACACAGTGAGTGAGTTCTGGGAATGCATAAGCCCCAGGAGCCATTGCTATCCCTCTCAATCTCCCCAAGCTTCCTAACCCCCTAGCTCCAGATTGACCTCAGCAGCTGTGTGACACTTGCCTTCTGTTCCCTTTCCCCTCCCCCTTGCTTGTTTTTTGACAAAGACCAAATGTTATTCTTCACTTCCTTAGGGCTCAGTCTCTGTGAGTGGACTCCTGGGGAAAACTACCCAGAACTCCCCCAGCCGCTCCCAGCTCCAGCCTTCTCCCCCTCCCCCTGCATTCCGCCTCTGGGTGCAGCCTGCTCAATGAGGGAAAACCCCAGCTTTCTGAGATCTCCTTTCTGCCCACTTTCCACGCAGAAATCCTCCACCTTCCAGGGCTCTAGGTCAGGTGGAATGGATCTTGTCCAGAACACTCCCAAACTGGGTACTTTTTAAAGCTGGCAGTGAAAAGGGGAAGTGATCTAAGTGTATTGTCGCCCATACCCTGCCCTCCACACCTCCTTGCCCTTCAGTGCCACTGTGCTGCTGCAGTCATTTCTGAGTCTGCTCCTCCTAATTCCCTAGCCTTTTTTGAGCCAGTGTTTGTCTTGTATGTTTCCCATGGTACAGGTGCCCCGTATTTCTCAGACCCCATTCCTGGGGCCCCAGAGTGGAACAGATCTTGAGATGGGGGAGGGGCTGCTCTCACAAAGGAGAAGTGCAGCTCATTCTCTCCTAGACCACATCCTGTCCTTTCTGTGCCCTGCCTCCCCAGCTTGGGCTCCCTTCCGCTCCTAGCTTTTGCCCCCTCTTGGGCTCATCCCATCAGAACTTGTTCCCTACCCGCTTCATCCACATTTGTTTGCACATGTTTGTGGATGCAGAGGCTCAAGCTGGTGTGAGGGTGGGAGGACTTCTCTGGAACTGTCTTCTCCCATGACAGGTTTCTGTCTGTACATCAGGGGTGGGAGCACAGAGGGAAAGAGGATGATTCTGGGACCATCAGGCTATGATCCATCCTGGTAAATGTGGCCCACCAGAGACGGAACCTGACAGATTGTTTTTACTTCATTTCCTGTCACAAGACTCATTTCCTTGGGGGATATACCCCAGCTTCTTCCTCCCCCGTTCTCTCCCTGGAGAGGGCCTTCTAAGAAGTTCGCCCAAGTTTTGTTACTTGGGACTTTCCCCAGCAGATCCTAGGCTCCTCCTGCTTCAGGCTGAGCAGAGGGAACAAACCCAGGCTGCTAGAGGGCTACGCAGTTCACTCTCCAGAGTAGAGGGCGTTCCAAGGCCTGACCCCTTGCATCAGGGTAGCAAGTGGGTGGTAACAGACTATCATGTCCATGCTCTCCATTCCCTGTTCATGCCTAACATTCAGGTAAAGTTGCTGGTCTTTTGAAATCTGGGTCATTCAGAGAGGGAGTAGAGAAAGGCTGGCATGGTGGGAGTGGGTGGGAAGGAGGCCAGACCTGAAAATGTGCCCTGAGGGGAGAGAGCTGCAGACTGGCTCCCACCTCTGGCCGGCCAGTTGCCTTCCCCTCCTGGATCTTGGGAATCTGTAACTGCACAGTCCCTTGGGTCTGACTTGCAGACCACAGAGGCAGGTGAGAACCCATTATCTAGTGTCAGGAGCCACACAACATCTCTAGAGCCAGGCCACAATTCTTGGTTTCTCTCGTGTTGAAAACAGATCGAGATCGGGAGACAAGACACTAAGGAGGGACCCTTCTCAGCGGTTTCCTCTAGGGCTGTCCATATTCTTACCTTTTGACTCCCAACCCATCACTTGTTCTTTTCTTTGGCACACTAGCCCTCTCCTATCACCTTCGCCTTCCACTTCTGGAATTTCAGAACAAAAGGAGCCACGAGAGTTACAGGACCCAACCCCCTCTCCACAGTTGTCCTTCATTTGTGTGTTTGAAGACTGTTCATGACTCACTCCCCATCACCCTTCATCAAATGTGGGTTTCTGCAGCCCAATGACCCTGAGGTCTTTGCCTTCTTTTTGTTGTTCTGGTCATGCTTGGAATGTGGTCCAGTTTGCAGAAGCCTTTGTTATCTCCCCAGGGATCCCAGGTAGATAGGCCTGATTCTTTAGGTCAGCTGGGGAGATAGAGGGCTGGGCAGCTGGCTCTGGGTCCTCCTGTCTGGGCTGGGTTGGGCTATTCCAATGCTCTCCCCTGACACCTGCTTCCTCTAGACCTGTCCAGGAACCGGTTCCCCGAGGTGCCAGAGGCAGCATGCCAACTGGTGTCCCTGGAGGGCCTGAGCCTCTACCACAATTGCCTGAGATGCCTGAACCCAGCTTTGGGGAATCTCACAGCCCTCACCTACCTCAACCTCAGGTAGGTAGCCAGGCCAGGGAGGGTGGAAGCTTACCTTTTCAGGCCCAGGTACCAGTGCACACTACCCTGAGCGCCCTTCCTGGTGGCCTTGAAAGGAGCGCAACATGAGTTGCCTTGCCTGCAGAGTGAGCTCGCTGCCTATTTCCTTCCAGTCGAAACCAGCTGTCATCGCTGCCCTCCTACATCTGCCAGCTGCCCCTGCGGGTGCTGATTGTCAGCAACAACAAACTGGGAGCCCTGCCCCCTGACATCAGTGCCTTGGGAAGTCTGCGACAACTTGTGAGGATGGGCAGAGGGACTGCTGGGCTAGATACCGGGGACCTTTTGGGGGAAGGCTGGGAAATGCCAGGGCTAAAGGAGTTGGCCAGAGACAGGAGGCAGTTTTTGATGCTTCCGGGCTCAGGCTTTTCTCACCGCTTTCCTGATCCCAGGACGTGAGCAGCAATGAGTTGCAGTCCCTCCCAACAGAGCTGTGCAGCCTCCTTTCCCTAAGGGATCTCAACGTCAGGAGGAACCAGCTCAGCACCCTGCCTGATGGTGAGGAGGAACTGGAGGGAGTGTGTGTGAATGTGTGGGTGAGCGCACATCTACCTTGGAGAACTGTCAGGCAAGGAATCGTCGCAGAAAAATAATAACCTTGTTGCCCAGGGTTTTACTGTATATATTTTTAAAAAACCCTGGCAATGACTTTATTTGATCTTGATCAAAGGCCTTGGAAGCTGACAAGGCCGTGGTTGTTAGCTCTACTTTACAAATGTGGGCAGAGGCAGAAAGGGAGGTAGGTTAGGCAGAAAGCACATGGTTATCTGAGTCAGGTGATGTTCTGTGCTGCTACCTCCCTGGAGATTCTGAGCCCATGGGGCTATGTGCTGGCACCCAAGTGGCCCCATTTTAACAAGCTAATTGTGATGCACCCCAGCATTTGGTATTCTCTGCTCTAAAGAAGGCATACCTTCTTTTATTTAGCTGGCTTTGTTTTATGTGTCCTGACCCTATATTGTAGGTGGAGGTAGGTATATAAGGATGATGTCATGTAGACCTGGGGCCAACTCTTAAGATTTAATGACTTAATGGGGAGAGACAAACAGAGGGAAGTGCTGGTACAGGATATTTAGGAGCTGCTGGTGTAGGAGGCGGCACCGCTCTGCTTGGGGAACCTGAGGAAGACATCACCCCTGTGCACACCAGGAGCTGGCCTTGGAGAGTTCTCCATCCTTTGGCACCCCAGGCAGTGCTGGGCGAGGTGCAGCAGGAATGCGATTAGTAGGAAGACAAGGCGCGGCTAGGCAGGAAGGCCTGTGCCACATTCACCTTGGTTTTGAGGGTGAGGGTATTGAGTTGGTGTGTCTTCTTGTGGCTTGCTGCGCCTTCTTGCACTAGCTGCTTTCTTTCTAAGTCAGTCGAGGCAAAAATAAGGTTTTGATCAGGGTGCTCTCTGCCAGTAGAGTAGTAGGGACATAGGAAGGAGAAATGACTTCTAGTCTAGGATCTGGAAAGACTTCATGGAGGGCTACACTTGAGCTGAACCTATGAGGATGGATGGACAGAAAAATGGTATTCTCCCAGCTGAGTAAGCAAGAAAGGCCCAGAAGCTGAGGGGCTAGGGGATTATCAGGTGTAGAAGGAGGGGGTGAGGAATGTGGCCCCAATCACATTATGAACACCTGACTGGGGTGGTCTGGGCTTTGGGCCTTAGACTGTCACAAATCCAATTGCAGCATTTTCACAAGTAGAAAAAGGTATCATTTCCTGAGGGCAGGTGCAGCTGGTGAAGTGGCTGAGGTGGCAACCCCCCACCCTTCACCCCCTCCCCTGGGTGCCTTTGTACAGGGCCCACTTCAGCAGCCCCTGCTGTAAGTCACCTTCCAGCGTGGTGTCACAGTGTTGTTTGGGTCTTGTGAGAATGAAGGGTGAGTTGAAGTGTGAGTGGGTGGGAGCAAAGGAGAGAAGTACCTGGATGGGTGTGATGGGGAAGGAGAACCCAAAGGGGCCCAGGTTTATATGGAAGAAGAGCAGGGCAGTCATTTCCGAGGCGTCCTCAGCAGCCCTGGCAGAGGTTGTGGTGGCCAGAGCACGGGCAGAGTAGTAAGCTGGAGGCCACTCTGGGCATTCTCCTCACCCTGCGCTCACCCTCCCCCAGAGCTGGGGGACCTTCCTCTGGTCCGCCTGGATTTCTCCTGCAACCGTGTCTCCCGCATCCCGGTCTCCTTCTGCCGCCTCCGACACCTGCAGGTCATTTTGCTGGATAGCAATCCCTTGCAGAGCCCACCTGCCCAGGTGAGAGGTGGGCCTGGGAACAGGCTGGGTTGGCGCAGGAGTGGGATGGTCCTGTGGGTAGCTAAGCAGGATCTGGGGAGCTGCTCTCCTGTAACTTTCCCCTTTCCTCCCCCCACCATGCGCACCCAGATCTGCCTGAAGGGGAAACTTCACATCTTCAAGTACTTGTCAACAGAGGCTGGGCGGCGTGGTGGGTCTGCATTGGGAGACTTGGCCCCTTCTCGCCCCCCAAGTTTCAGTCCCTGGTGAGTCCCAAGTGGGAAGGATGGATGCTCTCATGCTGTCTCCTGATGCCAGGGACCTGGGGTTTCTGTGGGGAGGTGGAGGTTGCTGCTCAATAAGGACTGACCAGCTCTCCCTGGCCAACCTCAGCCCAGCAGAGGATTTATTTCCGGGACGTCGTTATGATGGTGGGCTGGACTCTGGCTTCCACAGTGTTGACAGTGGCAGCAAGAGATGGTCTGGAAATGAGGTAAGGACCCGCTTTTAAGGGACAATGGGGTCTTTGCCCTGAGGGACAACCTCTGAGCCAGGTCCCTTTGACATATGTAGCTGGAATTCTTTGCTTCCTTCCCTCACCCAGGTGTGCTGGGTGACTGGCTTAGCAGCAGACCTCTTAGTGAGCCCCAGCACTACAGAGAGGCTGTCTTCCATCTCTGCATTTTTGCATTTACAGTCAACAGATGAATTTTCTGAGCTGTCCTTCCGAATCTCGGAACTGGCACGGGAGCCTCGGGGACCCAGGGAGCGGAGGGAGGATAACTCTGGTGAGTAATGGGGTCAGGGGCTGGGAACAGCAGGCTAGATGAATGCCTGAAGGCCCCATCTGCTTGCTGACGTGCCCTGGCCTCTCCAGCTGACGGAGACCCTGAGCAGATTGACTTCATTGACAGCCACGTCCCGGGGGAGGACGAAGAGCGAGGTGCTGCTGAGGTGAGAAACCGGGAGACAGGAGAGCTGGAGGGAGGGAACCAGTGCTAGCTTGGGAGGAAGGCACCTCTGAACCTCTCTGCTCTTTCCTTCAGGAGCAGCGGCCACCAGAATTAAGCCCTGCGGCAGGGGATGGGGAGAAGGCATCAAGCAGCAGGTACCCCCACATCCCCCTGAGCTACCTCCTCCTCTCTCTATGCCATCTGCCCTTACCCAGCTTTACCTGTCATCCTGTCTTTGTTCCTCAGGCGGGAGGAACTGGCAGGGGAGGAGCGGCGTCGCCCTGACACCTTGCAGTTGTGGCAGGAGCGGGAGCGGAGACAGCAGCAGCAGCAGAGTGGAGTGTGGGGGGCTCCCAGGAAGGACAGGTGTGGGCACGGGGCAGCGGGCCTTGGAGATGGCTGGAAATGAGTCCCCCTGAGCTACTCTGGCCACTGCTTGGCACTGCTCACCCCACATCTCCTTCATTTTATAGTTTGCTGAAGCTGGGGATCAAGGCTGCTGGTGGGGTTGCTGCTGCTCAATCCACCTACAAGTATGTGTCACCAAGATTCATGTGTGCCCTCTCCCTCCACACCTTTCCACCGACCACCCCTTCTAATTCCCTGCTGTCTTTCCTCAGTGGCACGCCGAAGCCTAGTGCTACTCAACTGGGAGCTTCAGGGGGACAGGGAGCCCCTGCCCCCGCCCCCACCCCCACCTCCCAGGAGCCCCTACCTGTATCTGGACCAGGTGGGTTAGGGGCTTTGGGAAGGTAAGGGTAGTTGGGGCCTGGTGGCCTGAGGGATGATTGGGGTACTGAGGGGGGTGTCTCTTATCTGCTTGTCCCCTGCCTTTGGCCCTTAGCGACAGCGCCTGCTTCCCGGCCGCTGGGCTCCATTCAGAGACCAAACAGCTTCCTCTTCCGTTCTTCCTCTCAGAGTGGCTCAGGTTGGTGCCCCATCCCCTAGATGCCAACGTCAAACTGACCCTTGCGCTGCAGTTACCCCTCTGGCCTGGGAATTCTCTGGACCTGTTGTCCCTTTGTGTTGAAAATCCCACCAGCAGATAGGCAGCAGGTGGGTGCTAGGCACTGTGACCCGGGTACAAGCGCCACAGTAGGTGTGCCCTCCGTTTTCTCCAGGCCCTTCCTCCCCAGACTCTGTCCTAAGACCTCGGCGGTCCCTGCAGCTTCTAGATGAGAAGGAGCTGATGACTCAGCTGCGCCAGGTACGCAGAGGCAGAGCTGTGTGGGGGAGCTGGGGCTTGCCATGTTACCTCCTCAGCACCCTCTCCGTGCATCCTGGAACTTCTGCTGAGGCCAGACAAGCGTTTCCTGCTGATCTTGACCTGTTCTTCCCTGTCCCCTGCTTCTCAGGTCCTTGAGTCAAGGTTGCAGCAGCCCCTGCCTGAGGACCTGCCAGAGGCTCTGGCCAATGGGGTCATCCTCTGCCAGTTGGCCAACCAGCTACGGCCTCGCTCGGTGCCCTTCATTCACGTGCCCTCACCTGCTGTGGTCAGTTGGGGTCCAGGGCAGAAATCAGGGGATGGGAGTGGGGGCTCCTACAGTCTCTCTCTTACTATCTTCTCTTTTTCCCCTACCCACCCCCAGCCAAAACTCAGTGCCCTCTTGTCTCGGAAGAATGTGGAGAGTTTCTTAGAAGCCTGTCGAAAAATGGGGGTGCCTGAGGTACGGGGGGACTCTGTTCTCAGAAGCCCAGGATTGGCGTCTCCTATAAAGTGGGCAGAGTCCTGGGCTCAGCTGAGCATTCTGCATGGATGGCAGGGTTCCACTCCCGGGGTGGCTGCTCCCCGGAGGGAAGATGTCCGCAAGCCCTTCCTGCATGCTATTCCCCTTTCCTGCACGCTGCGTGTTGCATGGCTCTAGCCCTGGCACCTGTGGGCAGGGGTGGGGAGGATTGTCTTGCTGCTGCTACTGACTTCTGCCCTTTGTCCTTGTCCATCTGTCCCACTCTCCCTTCCCAGGCTGACTTGTGCTCGCCCTCGGATCTCCTCCAGGGCACCGCCCAGGGGCTGTGGACCACACTGGAGGCCGTGAAGCGGGTGGGGGACAGGACCCCTCCGCCTCTCTGGCCCCCCTCTGGTCTAGGCGGCTTCATCTTCTTCTACGTGGTCCTCATGTTGCTGCTCTATGTCGTCTACACTTGGCTCCTGGGTTCCTAGGACCTGAAGTCATCCCACCTCCTACCCCCTTGCCCTCACCCTATTTCTATTTATGACTCCTGTGCAAACCTTGTCCTCCACCAGTGGTGCCTTCAGCCCCTACCAAAGACACTAGTGAACTCCCTCCCCTCACAAATACTGACCTCAGAGGCCCCACTCTGGTGCCCCCAGATCCTGGGCTCCCAGCCTCTGGCTACCCTCCTGAGGCCTAGCCCCACTCCCCTCCCTTCAGTGCTGACGGTGCCTTCGAGCCCTCCATCCCTGCCTCTGCTCCCCCAGAGGGGGTGGATTTTAACCCTTCTCCTGTGCCCTCCCCCCTGCCGCTTCAGGGGGCTAAATTATCTATATTTTGTAGAGAGAACTTTATATTTGTAGAGATGCAGGCACCCAGGCTGGGTCCCTGACTCTTGTATAAACTGTACAGTGGCTGTCTCTGTGTGTGTGTTTGCGTCTGCTCCCGCTGCAGCTGGGTCCAGTCCTGGCTGTGCCTCTTGGGCTCCCTGTGCCAGTCTGCCTACTACTCTAGCATTTCCTTTTGGAAATGACAGGTCTCACCCCTTTTCCACTCTCCCCAGCCTTTGCTCCCTGTGTAATTTACCGTCTGTTATGTGCTGGCAGCTTCCTTCTGTCTCATTTGTCCCCAAGCTGGGGGCTTATTATCTAGGATGCCCCAACTTGACCCCCAACAATTTCAAGGTTCAGCCTGTCAGTCTCCTTTGCCCAGTCTTCTTTAGGGTGTCTCTTACCCCGCCCTCTGCCAAGGGCAGGGAACTGCATGGAGATGACCAAGGGAACTTAACCTGGGCCCCTCCCCCCAGGAGTCCCTGTGCCAGCCCCACCACATCCTGGAAGAGGAGGGGCCCCCAGGAAGGGGCCTCCCCTACATCGCTGCTGCTGTTCATGCCCTGCTGGAAAGGCCTTAGGGGCTGAGGTAGAGGCGCTGGGCCCCCTACCCAGCCAGGACCCCAGGATCAGAGAAGACAAACGCCTGGGCTCTACTCTCTAGCAAGGACTGGTGAGGGCAGCCTTTGGCCTGGCCCTGTTTCTTGAGTACCCCTCAACCTGAGGGGCTGGAAGCAGGCCTGGCCCAGCCAAGGCCATGGTCTCCACTGGGTGTGGCTGAGGGTCTGGGTTTGAAGAAGACAGGGCACTGTGGTGTTGTGTCAAGTGCAATAAAGAAGCGGGAAGCCCTCTAGGGTTCCCCCAGGTGTGTGTGTGTGTGTCTGCTGCGGAGAGCTGTGCGACGTGGGTACTGATCCCTTACACCTCCGGTCTCTGCGGTCCGCTTCCGCGTGCCAGCCCCGCCGCCCCGCCGCCAGGGGGCGCCCGCGGGATCCCCGCAGAGAGCGTGCCACGTGGGCCGGAAATGCGCTGGGCGCCGGCGTCAAGGCGAGGCTGTGAGAGGTGGGCTTGCGACTTGGGTTAGTAGAATGGCCAGGTTAGCGCAGCACTGCTAAGGGAGGCGGAGGGGTGGGTGCGAGTGCGGGCCAGGGAGGCGCTCGGCGAGTGAGTAGGAGTTCGTTTGCGCCGCGTATCAGGGCACAGAGGTGCTGCCCTGCCCTGCCCCCCAGACGCGGCATGTTGCCCTGGCCTCCGGGGCGGTGGGGCACAGGAGAGGAGCAGATGCCTGAGGAACCGAGCTCCTCGGCGGGCAGTGACCCAGAGGAGACCTGGAATTCTGGAGAGGAAGCCGTGGGCGAGCCAAGAACACCCCCACAGAACAGGTAAGGTGCTCGGCCCCAGACGCTTGGGGAAAATCCAATGGGGGAGCCACCATGTGAGTGAACAGTTGCGCGGTGAAGATTGGGCTTAGGCATGAGCATGGGCATGGGGCTCTCGGGCCCCCTTGTGATTGTTCAGACTTGGGCGGGGAGGCACTGACGAGCTTCTCAGTACTGCCCCCTTCACAGCCCTGCACCCAGGGCTGGAAACCCTTACCAGACCCAGAGAGAGCTGTTGCCCCCGTACCAACGCCAGGGCCTGGCTGCCCAGCAGCCCCGGGGAACCCCAGGTAGGTACAGGACTTTGCTACCTTTCCACCCCCCCACCCCTCCTTCACTCCCACCTTGCCCCAGACAAGACACTCCTCCTTCACCCCCACCCTGCCCCAAACAAGATACCCCTCCACCCCCACCCTGCCCCAGACAAGACTTCGGAGTCTTTTAATTTTTGTGTCCCCCAACCCCCAGTTCCCCTCTCCTCCCAAATGGCCTGGGAGGTGGCCCCGCCAAGAATGCCCCTGCTGCCACCCTGGGACCCCAACTACGAGGCTAAAGCAGGATCTCAGCCAATGTGGGTAAGTTGGGGTACCTGTGACTCCAGCCTTGTGGTGGGCAGGGATTCCTTGGGAGGAGATTGAAACAGCAGTGGTCTTTCCCTGCCTCCTCCTCTCCGCAGGGACCCAGCTGTTCTTCTGGCGCCTCTTTCTCAGGCCGGACTCTGTGTCATCCCTCATTCTGGCCTCTCTATGAGGCAGCCTCAGGAAGGGGGCTCAGGCCCTGGGTCTCCCCAGTACATCAGAATAGAGAGCAGATGCTCAGGGATGCAGGTACTTCCCTCCGTCCCCTTGGGCGCAGGAGTGAGGCACCTCCAGCCCACTATGCTAGCAGCTTCTCCTCCCCAGGGTTCCCAGTGATGTGTTGTGAAGATGTCTTTCTTTCAGACCCTCTGCTGCCACAGGGCCAGCAGCGTGTTCCCCTGTACCTGTCTGAGGCCCCTCAGCAGGTGAGCACTCGTCCTGCCTTGCCTCAGCCCTGCTTGGGAGCTGGGCTTGGGAGGAGCCACTTCCGCCCCGTCTCTCCTCAGGTGATGGGTTCTCTGAAGCTGCTGCTCCCACCCCCAGTCATGTCCCCATGGGTCCTCCCTACACCCACCCCTGGCTGCTCCACTGCCTGGCTCAGTGGGCCTGAGCTGATTGCCCTCACTGGCCTTCTGCAGATGAGCCAGGGGGAGCCAAGACCAAGTTCCTCACCTGCCTCAGGGGTTCCCACACCCCCTGCTACCTCCCCAGACCCTGTTTCTGAGTCCCTGGGCTCCAGTGGTGACTGTTCTCACTTCACTGACCCAGCTCTCCCCTAACCCCCAGGCACCCATGTCCATGGCTCTGCTGGGGGTAGAATGGGCCCTGTGTTCCTCCAGGAATGTTCTGTTGGCATTAAAACTGTTCATTTGCAAACAGGCTCCTGTGGTTGGTAGCAGTGGGGCATGGGGTGAGGTTGGGGTTTCTTACTTTTCTTACTTCACCTCTGCTTTGACTGCCTCCCCTCAAATTCTTGCTACTCCTTGGTCACTCTCTACAGTGGGACAGGCAAATCTATAGGTCTAAGACTTTTCCAGGCTGATTAAGCAACTCACCTTTTAATTGGGGGAAGGGGAAATCCACAGTACGCTTCTCCCCACCCCCAGTTATATAGGAAGTAAGCCATCAGTTGTGTCAGCCAGGGAGAAGGAAGGAGTGTGTGAGTTTGTAACTGGCAGCAGGAGAGGCAGACTATGGAGTAGGGGGGGTGGCACAGCGCTTTTGGAGACACACTAGTAGTAAGACTGGTGCTTTCATTCTTCTTGCACTGGAATCCCAGGAGATCAGCGTTGGTGTGAAGTTACTTTGGTCAGCAGGCACTTGGGGTATGGGTGGGGAGGGAGAGGTCCATGGCATCAATGAGGGCAGGGCTGGGGACTAAGGTGCACTGGAGACTCTGCACTGATGCTGCATGAGTTCTGTAGAGGAGACAAGGATCAGGGCTTTGTCTGGAAAAGTCCTTACCTTTGTTGGGTTGGTTTTTACTTTTTGGGGGGTGGGTGGGTTCTTGTGGGTTCTCCCCCCCCCCCCACAAGACTAACTTCTTTGTCAACCTCCCCCTGAATATTTCTCGGTGCCGTAGCTGAAGGAGCAGGTTGGACAGTGGGCCCCTAAGGGATAGCCAAGGGCCTTGTGGATGTGATCTAGGAGGGTGCCTGGGGCTCAGAGCCCGTTCGTTGGTCAGGATACCAATGGTGAAGTGAGGGGTGTTGTGAGCCGGAAGGCTTTGTAACTTCCACCATTTTTTACCCCCCTCCCCCCACGTTCCTCCTATTCATGTCTCCTCACCCGCGCCTCCCGGAGCTTCTGGAATTCTATGCGCGCATAGCTGAGCATGCTGCTCCCGGGGGCGTCTCCTCGCACCTCCAGAGGCGGCACCAGCTCCAGGTCGATGTAGTTGAGGCGGCCGTCGGGGGGCGCCAGTTTAGCAGCGCCGGTTCCTACGTAGTTCGGGGCTGTATACTCGATACACACGTACTCCCCCGCCAGCTCGGAGGGCAGTTGCCGGCAGGGCTGAGTCCCCGCGGGCCCCCAGTTGCTCCCAATGCCGCCGGGCTTGTAGGAACGCGGCTGGGAGCTCGAGGAAAAGGACCCTGGCGGGAAGCGGCTCATGGGCACGTACTCGGTGCCTCCCCCCTCCTGGAGTGGCTGATGGGGAGCGTCGGGGGGCGCCAGTCCGAGGCCTGGGGGCGCCATCACCATGTAGCCTCCCGCTTCGCCGCCCCCCATGGGCTCGTAGTCACTCCTGGCTCCCATGCTTATGTAGCCCCGGCCCTGCTCTAACTCCTCGGGGTAGGGGGCTGCGGCATCCAGGGTCGACGCGGGCCGCGGCGTTGCTTGCTTACTCCTTTCACCCGGGCACTCTCCGCGCGGCAGGCCGCTAGACCCGGCCGCCATCAGGGTCTCGTAAGGTGGGAGGACCGACGGCCTGGAGGCGCCCGTGGGAGGATCCCTGGGCTCGGCCCTGCCACCGCTGGCACCGTCCCCCAGTCGCTTCATGGCGGCCAGGACGGTTTCGTGTATGCTCTGGGCCACCACGGCGTCGGGCGCCTGTAGCCACAACTCCCCGGGCCCCGTGGGCGCGGAGCGGCCGAGCTCCAGGAAGAAGAAAGAGTCCGCGTGGCCGCAGCGGCGCACGCTGAGCAGCGACAAGCGCAGGGCCGGCGGCGGCGACGCCCGGGCGTCCTCGGAATCTCTGCGCCTGGGCTTCCGCAGCAGACTCAGGATCCCCGAGCCCAGGCACAGGCGGTAGCCGCCGCTGCCCAGGCCTCGCGCCCGCCCCAGGCCCTTGGGCCGCAGCGTCACGGGCCAGACGTCCTGGAACGGAGCGAGGAGCCAGGTCCCGGGGTCCTCGTGGGAGCTGGGACCTGGAGAGACAACGGGTTGGCCACAGGGGACCCCTGGGCCCGGGGGTGGATCCCCGTGCCCGAGAACTGGGAACGCTCGGTCGAGCGTTCTAGCTCGGACGAGCCAGAGCTCGGTCCGGTGCCTCTGGGGCAGGCGAGGGATAAACCCGCGCCGCTCACGGAGCCCGCGCCCCCAGCCCGGACCGCCCGCGGGCTCGGGCCTCACCCGCGGCGGCGCGCACCTCCAGCAGGGCGCTGTACCACGCCTGCTGCTCCGCCTCGCTGGCCGCCGCCACGCCCAGGCTGCGGTCGCGCGTGTAGAGGACGATGAGCAGGCGCCGGCGCGCGTCCACGCGCTTGCTGATGGTGCACGCGCCCGCCAGGCTCACGCTGAGCTTGGGCCGCGCGCCGCCGCCGCGGAACTTCTTCTCGCTCTCGTAGCACTCCAGGCGCGGCGGGTCGGCGCGGAGCACGAAGAAGCGGCGGCGCCGGGACTTCTGTTTCCGCAGGTGGCCGCAGAGCCGCACGTCGGCCGGGCCGGCCCAGGGCAGCGGCGGCCCCGGGGCCGCTGCCGATTCAGACTCCGGGCTCGCCGCGGGGCCGCCGCCCCCGCCGCCGGGCTTCATTCCCGACCGCGGGCAGGACAGTGGCCCGGCCAGGGCGAAGCGGAGGAGGAGGGGCTGGGGCGAGCCGGCAGCGGTGCGGTGGAGGTGGCGGTCCCCGGGCAGAGGCAGTGACCCGACAGGCTGCGAGCCGGCTCGATCCCCAGTCTGTCCCCTGCTCCCGACTTGAGGTTGGGGCAACGGGTCTGCAGGGACCTCTCGCTGCGCACGGCCTGTGCCCCGGTGGCTGCGCGGAGGCCCGCGACAACCGGGACTCCCAAAGCCTCAGAGGCTTGACCCCGACCGGCTCCCCCGCCTCCCTTCGCCGGCTCTCCCCTCCCTCCACTGGCCGCTCTGGAGTCCCCACCCCCGCGTGGTTAACCCTCGCGCGCCCCGGGCACTGCCCGCCAGGCCGCGGGGACGGAGTTGAAGAGTTGGCAAGTCTAGGAACGGCGAACTCTACCCCATTCTCGGACTGAGCTGCTTGCAGGGGCGGGGAGTGTGGGTTGGGGGTCGGTCCCGATTTGAGCCTACTGCGGAGAAAGCCGCCCTTGAGGCGAATGTAAATGAAATTTTGATCACGCTGGCTGCGGTGCCATCCAGAGGCCTGGTGATCAGAGGGTACAGCACGCATGCCTGCCACCCTTACAACAGCACCCCCTTCCGCCTCTGCCCACTCTGGCTCTTCAGCGACCAGCGTCCGTGTCCTCCGTCCCACCGAGAAAGAATTCTGTGAACATCTTTTCCAAGCAATCCGAGGAGCCATGCGCTGAGCATTGGGCTGTGCTGATTTCAGAGGAGCTGGAGGTTCATCTTCTCTTGTTTTTTGGGGTGATAGGTGAAGCAAAGTTTTGGAATGGACACCCTGTGCACAGAACATAACCTCCAGAGTCCCAGTTAGGCAGCAGCTGGCAGAGATCCTGGGAAGAGACCCTCCAGCGCCACTTTCCCCTCTCTGCCCCCATGGACCTCTGGACCCTTCTCACTGCCTGTGTCCAAAAGTGTCTTAAGGGGCAAGCGAAAGGCTCTGATCGTAACGGGACACTTGGGTGGAGATACCCTCTGTTCTATGCAATCCTGAGAGTCTGGAGTTGGGGCTGGGAGTCAAACATTTTATACCCCATTTTTGAACCTGCTGGGAGGGTGGGGGTTGGGTGGGGGACACTGGTGTGGGCTTTAGAGGACCTCTCTGTACAGAGATACCACTCTGATGGCAAGGAAGATACCTAACGGGGCTGAGCATGGGAGAGAGGCAGAAAGCTGTGTGGGCCCCTATTAAAGAAGGTTATTTGAGGAAGAGCAGTCAGGTGAGGAATGAGAGATAACAAGAACTGAAGCAAGGGAACCTGGTTCTCAGAGCCAGGCAGCCTGAGCAGGGAGGGCAGGCTTTTCCATTTCCAGTGGGAAGAAGCAATGTCCCTAATGTCTGGGTTCTCAGGAAGTGTGTGTGGTTGGGTGCGGGGGTAATCAATGCCAGGTGATTTAGCTGCCCAGTACCAGGAAAAGCATGGAGCCAAACAACTGGCTTAATCAGTTGCCCTAGCAACAACACTGCCCTTGACCTTACCCAGACAAGATTTATTTTAGGCCGTTACCCTGGTAACACAAGTTGCTCCCCAGGGACTGGAAGTAGCAGAACCTCAGCTCTCCTGGGTGACACCACTTTCCCCAACATGAGGGGGACACTCGTGCATCCCCATGGCAGGTGCATGTGGGATGGGTTCTTCACATTTTAAGTACTCAGGAGAATCTTGATACTGGGAGTGGAACCCGTAGGAGGCTGGGGTGCTCTTCCCTCCTCCCACCCGTTGTTCCTGGGTGCCCAGGCCTGAGCCCTTACTTCTGTGTTGTGGGGAGGGGGGTGTAGGGCTGCAGGGAGAGGGTCTTTACTTTCAGCCCTCCCTTGAGAATCCCGTTTCCAATATGGACCAAGCTTTGCATGGAGGTCCAGGGATTGTTTCCTGCTTCCTTATTCATCTGGGCAACTGCTGATGACCTACTGAAGGTTGGGGCCCAGCCAAGGACTGTTGTCTACAGAGCAGTCACAGCACCGGCCAGGGGCACACAAGCACCTGTCAGAAACCTAGAGTGCTTGCAGTGGGGTTCAGATTTGCGACCCGTAGGCAGGGAGGGGCAGGAAGAACCCAGTCAAATATTTTGTCAGGCCAGGATTTTTCCATTCTTTGCCACTTGCCTGGAGAGAAGAGGCCTGATGGAGGCGACTCTGTGGTTGTTCCTTGCCAAGAGAGGCAGCTGCAGTCCTAGACTCGGCCTATGCCCAGGGAACTCTTGATTTTTCTGCCCTGAGATCTGAGGCCAGCCTAGCTGGGGTCATCCAGCTCTGGCCAGTGAACTGGCTAGAGTCCATGTGGGACAGAGTGACTGGGAGGCAGTCCTGCAGGGAGGATCAGGGCCCAGTAGTGTGAGCAAAACAGTAAGAGGACACAACTTTGGGTCCTTTAAGTTTCAGTATTTTTAGTTAGGAAAGGGGGGGCTGGGGAAAAGGAAAAAGCTCCTCCTACTATCCTCCCCTTTCTGGCTCTGAGCAGAAAATGGGAAACAGAAATAGGACAGAGATCAAGGGTGGCAAAGAAGGGAACAAAGAACACAGCAAATTCAGGGGTGAAAGGAGGGCAATCCACACTGGGAGACCCTGCAAGGAGACAGGGCAGGAGCTGGGAATACAGGAACACAGACATGAGTCAGGCCAGGTACTGAGCTTTGGAAAAGGTGGGGAGACCACACCTGGCTGGACAAATAGCAGCAGCTGGAGGTATTTTAAGAGAAGTCCGCAAAGTAAATAAAGTGACAACATAGTCCCCGCCTTTCTCATTAGGTGAAATGACCCAGAGAAATCCCAAGAATGAACAGCTAAAGGGCCAGGATTTTCTGGGCAATGGTGCAAGAGGGAGGTTGAATCCCAGGCCTGTCGGGTGAGGTGTTTAGCCCAAGCCAGCTGTCTTGTCACCACACAAACAACCCAGACACCACTGTTGTTGACACAACATCCTCAGGTGGAGACTCGAACCACTGAGACTGCACCAGACTGGGCAGTGGCCTATTGCATCTGTGCTGGCACTTAGCTCTCTGCCTACCCCCAACCCGGTGGGAATGCACCCCCCATTCCCCCTGGCTGACCCCCTAACTTCTGCCATAATGCAGGACTCCAGTTCACACAGGGACTGGCTGACTGGCAGTGAGTTGTGTTTAGCTGAAGGAGGTGGCATCATCAGGGCTCAGGCCACCAGGATCAGTCATGTGATCGACAGGCAGCCCCTCAAGCTCACCCAAACCAAAACCAGGAGAGCCATTTTCTTTTTCTTTCAAATGCAGTTCTTTTCCAACATTGCCAGCAACAGCTTTGGTGCAGATTCAGGGGCAGGGGAGGCACGTGGAAAAAAGGAAAAAAAAAAAAAAAACAGAAACAGCCAATTGCACAAAACCTTTCCCTGGAAAAGCCTCGGCTCTGAGGTGCTGGGGACATGTGGCTGCCCGCCCCCATCCCCTGGAGCTCGGCTTTGCTGGTCGAGGCACAGATGGGGATTCATCCGGCTCCCCATATAAAAGAGCTATCTGGGAAGAATGGTGGCTGAGTAATATATCTCTATGTGTGTGTGTATATATAATAGGCTATATTAGAAAACTCTCTATGTATAAATATAAAACACTGGTATCCAAACATGACACCACAGCTAACTAAAGTGCTTGATGGGAGTTGGGTGTGTGAAAGTATGCAGGTAAAACTATCCATCCTGAAGGCCCAGGATGAGGAAGGGAGCTGGGAAGCAAAACTGTGGAAGCCTCCTTGCCCAGTAGGGTGGGGAGAAAGGGTGCCCTGGCTCAATTTGGGCACCAAGGGCCTTTGGGACTCTTTGATCATTGTCTCTCCAAACACCAGCCTCATCCTCACCTTTACCTACTTTTCCCACTGCGCTTCTGTTCCCAAGGTGAACAGGGTTGGGAAGTTGGGCTTGGGAAAAGTTGTTTCCACAGGGGCGCTCAGGTCAATCTGTATGCACAGAGTCCTCCACCCAGGGGCTGGAGCTGAGTGGGTGCTGTGTGTGCTGAGGGCAGGAGAGGAAGAGGATTCTGTCATCGTAATTAATAATCTGGGAATTGAAACACGATTGCTTCTCTAGGCCAGGCCTGCAGTCTCTTCTCCTGGGACTTCTGCCTGGGTAGGGGCTGGAGGGAAGAAGAGAGGAAGCCTTGGGGGGGAGGGGCAGTGGACCCACAAAGTTGCCCTTTTATCTGCAAGCCCCAAGCAAAGCATGAGCACCTCACCATCCCCAAGACCCATCCCTGTAAAACAAAGCCCAATCTGGTCTCAGATCCACAGAAATGCCACAGGCAAGTGGTCACCAGAGCTCCAGGGGGTAGAGGGGCCCCAGAGGGCATGGAAGAGGCCCCCCAGGACACAGTGCTACAAGAAGGGGTTGGTGGGAGGCTTGGAGGCAAATGGGCTTGATGAGGGTCCAGTCTGGAAAGAAACAAAAACAATTTGTTAGATTAGGGGAGAAAGGCTGGGGCCACTGAAGAACTGCAACTCAGAATTCCTTATGTTCAGAAATAACTGTGCTGGGGAAGAGGGAAGTGAGGGAACTAAGAGGGGAGTGGAGGATTAGGGGACAGAAGGACTGGCAAGGCCAGAGATCAGACACTAAGAACTAACCCACTGATCCCTGACAGACAAGGCAGAAGGTCACAAGGAGTTTCATCCTACACCAGCCTTTCTCCTGCCCACAGAGGCAGGCCACGCCCCTGGCCACTGATGCTCACCATGAAGGGGTTGGTGGAGATCCCAACTGGTTGGCTCAGTGGCCTCTGACCAAGCTTAGCTGATCCTAAGTCGCTGAAGGAAGAGCCTAAGAAGCAGAAAAACAAAAGCAAACCTTGGCTGACAGGAGCCTGACCCTGGGCTCAGCCCTGCCTGCCTTCCCTGCAGGGCAAGCACATCCCAAAGTGGCAGTCCAAGAGTGGTCTTCCTCAATCCGGGGAGAAGGGGATGAATCAGAACCAGAGGACATGGGCAGGCTTGGCTTTCGGGCCGAAAGCCCGAAAGCTTGGCTGGCTGGCTCCCTTGTATTCCTGTGGGCATATGCCAAACACAGAGTCTTGGGGTGGGCGTGGGGGCAAGTAAGGCTGCCGGTAGAGTCCCTTACCATTCTGCTGCAGAGTCATGGAAGTCTGTGGGGGGAACAGCGGTTGCGGGAAAGTGCTGGCAAATGCCCCAGTGGGTGGCACTGTCTGGGGGAAGCCAGGTCCAGCACTGCTGGTCCCAAAACCCGGCCCTGTGGAGGGACATGGGGTTCAGGGGAGTTCTGGAAGGCAAGCTGAAGAACAGTTATCCCTACATCCCTTGAAGATATGGAAACAGGGTGTAGTTTTTCCCGAAGTACGCAGCAAAAGTCCCCTAAAAGAGCCACGGAGCTCTTGAGCTTCCACTGAGCTGCCAAACCTACCCTCAGAGGTATGGCAAGGGCAGGGCACGGGTCAGCTTTCTCCTCTCTATTAAACTGCACAAAAGAAAGCAAATGATTCGCCCTGGGTGCCCGAATCCTCTCCCCTGCCAGGGCTGCTATGAGAATTAAGCCACAGATGTAAAGCAGGCAGCCCTGGAAGCTATCATTCTCCCTTCCTGACCTCAAGGTTTTTATGAGCAACAACAAAAAAGAAGGTGGGACATGAGTTTAGAGAGAGAAAAGCAGAGGTTTGGAGGGGAGGTCAGAGAACACAGGATGGGCCGAGGGACCCGGAACAGGGGTGAAGGCTTCAGGTGGCTCAGCGTGGGTCAAGGAGGGGCCCGCTGAGTCCTGGGGAAACAGCTGCTTTGATCAGTCAGCACTAAAGCACCCTTCAGAACTGGTGAGGTAGGGAGGGCCTTATTCTCCAAGTCTGATTCTGTGACTTGGGGTGCTTCTCCCTCTTGTGCCCGCTAGGCGGCCTGGAAATGAAAACAGGTCTGGCCTGGCCGGTGCTGACCTGCAAAGCAGACTGGTTTCAGTACCCTAAGCCAGCTGAGGCTGCCTGCTGCTCCCCCTGCTGGTGTGAGAGGAGGGACACGGGAGAGTCAGCCAGGGCGTGGTCTGGGAGGCTTACCCGTGGCCAAGCCGTTGGTCTGGAAGGGGTTGGTGGAAGGCAGCTGTGGGTGAGCTGCTGGCGCCGTGAAAGGGTTGGTGAAAGCTGGAATGGAGAGTTAGATTTTTCCCACTGGCTTACTGCTGTGGCAACTAAACATTTCTCTAAATCTCCTCGCTCCACTCCCCAACTGTCCCGAGTCCCCAGTTTCCTCCGTGGATCCCCTCCCAAAGACTCACAAAGACAAAGACTCACCTCCAAAGGCGAGCCCTGTGGTGCTGCTTCCACTGGTTGCAGCCGATTGGAGCATGGGGACCTGGCTGGGCATCCCGAAGATGCTGTGATATGGGGAGAGAAGTCGGCATGCCTATGGCCCACGAGCAGGGAGACAAGCTGGGCAGGGGCCCAGGAGGTGGCAGGCCCTGTCCTGCCAGACAGGAGGAGCTGAGAGGCTGGGAAAAGACAGGCCGGGTTTTTTGGCCAGCTCTCTTTCCTTGTAGATCCCCCGATATCTGGACCTACCTGCCAGGGATCCCTCCAGCTGATGGCCCCAGGAGGCTGCCCATGTCTGCAAGGCTGTTCGGCTGACTGGCAGGTGCAAGAGGAGAGGCACCAAATGGAGTCACCTGGCTGCTCCCTGGGTAATCACAGGAGACAGGGAGTACTGGTGAGGCTGGGGGAAGGGCAGGAGGTGGAGGTGAGGTCGATGGGGTGGAGTGAGGCATGAGGCACCCGTGGGATGCTGTGAGCCAGTGCAACTCTCCTGAACCATCCCATCCCCTCCAGGTCAGGGCATTGTGACATGCCGGGATGCCCAGTGCTCCTGGTGCTCAGTCTCCACTGCTGAGGAAGGCTGAGCTTCCTTGGGTCTCACCATCATTTCTCCTGTGCTAGTTTGACGTACATGTCCCATTTTTTTCCTCAAGAGAGAGGAGTCTGTCCTTTTCTCAAACCAGCATTTCCATTTATGGGTCAGTCATATGAAGGGGCAGGAAAAGGGGGTGGGGGAGGTGCTAGGAAGGGCAGAAAGGCCCCAAGATGCCCTGGAGATTCCTGGATGTGGACCGTCGGCACCATTCCCACTCGCCCAAGGGGCCTTCTTCTGGGAGTCCACCTCAGTGCTGGCCCACCTCAGTGCTGGGGGCTTAGATCAGGGTGGGCATACGTGACTGCCAGGTCGGACAGATGGCAGAAGGCAGGTACAGAAATACAGAAGGTAAGGGGAGGCTTACAAAACTGCACAGGAGCATGCAGTCATGGCTCCTGAGAGGAGGCCTGGGCCCTATCCTTTTAAGACAAACTCTGTGTGTCTAAGTATCATGCATTTCTGGACCCTGTCAGTCACTCTGGGCAGCTGTGAGGATAAAATGAGACTACAGAGGGAGATGGCTTTACTTTTACAAGTGCTGGAGGACTCTTAGCCTGAAGGGAAACCCACTTTGCAGTGCTGGCCACACACCCGCGGTCAAGCAGCAATTGCTGGGTGAGTACCTGCAGTCAGAGCTGGGCTGCAGCGAGGGTGCTACCACTTGCTACGGCCTCTGGTTCCTAAGCCCACATTTTTCTGGTTGTAAACTCTTTGAGATAAGTGGGTGTTTTGAAAATCGTCTTTTGGTAAAAGACATGTGATGTTTAATAGTTCAGGGAAAAGAAACTATTCCCAGGGTCAGTGAAGCAAGACAAAGTCTCAAAGGAAACATGTGACAACCGGCTCAAATCCCAACACAGTCCCCACCCTGGGTCCTCGGGGGGTGGCCTGTCCGCAAGCCCCACCTTTGCCTTAAAGGAGAGCCGCCCTCCCCATGCCCGGGTCGCTGACTCCTACTTTCCCTTCACACTCAGCAGAACCAAGTCTTCACATGAGACTTCACTACCCCACAAATGTGAATTTGACCTTTCATTTCCTCTCCTAGCACCCTGTTCTCTCCCTTCATAGCACAGTGAGATATTTTTGTTTATTTCTGGATCAACTGTGTCCCCACTAGACCAATTCCATTGCTGGTAGTTTTCTTACACATGTAGCTTGCAAATGTGCAAAACATGACACATACAGGGTTATGAACTGCAGCACTGTTTAATAGCAAAAAATGTTCATCAGTAAGGGGTGGGTTAAATAAATAGTGGCATATCCCGACAGTGGACTATTGTGTGGCTATAAAGAATGAGGAAGCGTTTACTGTACTGGTGAGAGCTAACAGTACTAGTAAGTCAAAAAAAAGGTGTGGAAGAGTATGTTTATTATGATATAAAATGTGTAAAAAAAAAGAGAGAGAGAGAAAACAGGACAATTAAAAAAAGTGAGTAAGAAGGCCACTGGACTCCGCTACCCAGAGACACAGCTATAGACAGCAGGTAAGACAAGACCATGGCTAAGGCTGTGAACACATTTTCTAGGATGGGCAACTTTATGCATGTTTGTGGAAAAAGGAACTATGTCAGTGGAAATGGAGAGAGGAGGTGAAATCCAGGAAGACACTGATGGCACAGACCCTGCAGAAATGGAAAAGGATGAAGGGGAATCTTCACTTTCCGTCTTGGCGACAAGAGGAGGGAGGGAAAGGAAAATACGGACAGGAGGCAAAGAAGACTAATTTTCAAATCCACATTACCAAACCCCTGAACCTCAGCCTGGTTTCTTGTCAGCACAGTTTTGGGCTTTTTTTTCTGAATGCCTCAGAACTGTAACTGGAATCTCTGTGCTCTAACCCCTTGTGAGAGGGTGTCTTCCACTGGCAGGCAGTGAGCGCAAGACCAGTGGGTGGTGAGTGGCTCTACCCGGGTGAAGCAGAGATGCCACAGGGCAGACAGGTGCCCAGCACCTGCCAGCTTCGAGCCTCCAAAGGCTGCTGCAGCAGTACTAGCAATGAAGACAGTGCTCGCCCAGGCCACTCTCCTTCCCTAATTGCTGGGCTTGCTAGAGAACAGAGAAAGGCTCTAATCTTGCCCTACATGTCCAGTCCTACACACAACAGGCCCTTTCTTGGCCTGACTGACTGGGGTCTGTGGAATTTCCAGAAGAATGCAGCTCTCTTCCCTCACTTAGGTCAGACCTGTTCAGCCCTGCTGGGACCTCAATCAGGGAGCATCCGTCAGGCCCAGGTCTGCCATCCTCACAGGTGGGCAGGGGGCTGTCCTCCTAGCTGTAGGCAGTGCCATGTCTCCTTGTGGACACAAGAGGGCAGAGCAGGCCCTTGCCCAGGTGGGTAGGCACCCTGTAGAGGGCACAGCCTCAGAAAGAAGGCAGTCCTTAGGAACACCTGCCCTTCTCTTTGCTTCCAGTATACTTCCAGAGTCTTGCTCCATGCAGCTGGCATTGTGAACATGCCTTATAGCAGGCTCAGAGGAACTCCCCTCCCCATTACCCCCCTGAGAAATATAAGAATGCAAACTGGCTTGTCAGAAGAGACAACCACCTGTCTCCAAAATCTCCCTGCATCATACTCAAGTTCTTTATGGCACACGCACAGAAACCCCCTGGTGACCATGGCGTGGTGGACAGTGAAAGGGACCTGCCACTTGTCAGCCATTCAATTTGGGTCAAGTAACTGGTCAGGTCGAGCAAATTTACTCAAGCACAAAGTGGAGTTCTTTTCTTCTTGAAGATAGTAGGTGGACACTGCAAGCTTTGGCCAGAGCCTCACACATGCTGGCTGGCTCTGGCTCTGGCTGTAGACTGTTGCTTTTTGTCCAGACGCTGGACAAAGGGTTCATCCCAGGTTCAGAATGGGATGGCTCCAGGTCCTTCCTTCTCTGCTTTTTAAAAGTTGGCCCTTCAGGGTTCTATTGAAAGCAATCAGTTGTGCTTGGAATATATTTCTGAAAGGACTAAGTTACAACGGTGTATAGGCTGTTTTGTTTAGTAACCCCAGCCCTAGGAACACTGCCCTCTGCTAAACTGGCGATTTCTGTGTCAATTTACAACCTCCCATGCTGCACCCATCTCTCCATGCCATACTGGCCGTTATCAGTCTGACATTTTTGTCTATGTTTCGTGCAAAATGGTATTATCCTAAATTGCATTTTCCCCAATTAGTTGAAGACCTTTTCAAATTCACACAGAAAAACAGGGTATTAATTGCTTGCATCCCTTGTTGATAATTCTAGTCTTTCTTGTGAGTAGGAGTTTATATAAAAACACATTATGACTATTAACTTTTGGTCTGTTTTCCATATTGTGTTTTCCCCTGATCTGCCTTATCCTGAATCTGTGTTTAGGTCATCTTTTATCACACAGAATACAACCTATGCAATTTTTATTTGTCAGAATTTATGGAGATTTTTGTTTCTCAGTCTGTTTGAAAATAACATACATTCTGTCTTTTGGTGATGAACTTCTATGTACATAGCTCAAACCTGTTAAGCTCTTAGCTAAGTGTTCTGCTTTCTTCCTCACTTGTCTAGTTTATCAGTCTTGTGACGGTCTACAGGAGTGTCCTGTTCTGTCAGTTTATTAGCTTTTCATTGTGTCTGGTGGATTTTACTTTATGAATCAAGGTTAGACTGTTGATTACTTTACATTCACGATATGAGAACTTCGTGACGTTTAACTTTTACCAATATAAAATGTCTCTTATCCCAACAGAAAAATAAAATAAAAATGAAAGCAACCAACCAGTTCACAGCAGTGCAGTAGAAAGGCTGTGGCAGAGCGGAAGTTAAGAAGCCTGGGCTTGGGCCTGCTCTGCCACTGTGTGGGCTGCATGACTAGGCAAACTGCTTAACTGCTTCATCGGGAGAATGGCCAAATCTGAAGGACTCCTTCTGGACCTCAAAACTCGGATCCAAGGACCCGAGATAGGCTCCTACCTTGGGCAGGCTGTGGGTAGGAGAGAACTTACCAAAGCTGTAACTTCCAGTTAACATCCGACTGGCTGGCAGTGATGGGGTTCAGAAGGGAGAGGGTGGGCAGGTTGGGAGGGAGAAAGAAAGAGTGTAAGTCACTGGCTTCCCCAGATATCTGGTCGTACAGTGCTCCAGCTGCCCTCAGGGTGTGCAGAATGTCCACAGCAACAGGGGCAGCCCACAGGATCTGCAAACTGGGAGCTAAGGGAGGAAGCCGGCCCCCAGGCAGCCTTGAGACTGCCTTTCACTCAAACCGTTACACAACACAGAGTTCACAGGCTTTGCTCTGAGATGAACAGGTGGAGACTTCGGAAACTACCTTCAACTGTGATCCTGTCCTTGGCCTCTTTGGGCAGTCTATAATACACAACCTCAGAGCAGTTTAGGGAGCATGTTCATTCCCGATTTTTCTCGGATGCACGTCTCCATACTTCCCTGTCAGCAGTCCAGCACCCGACCTGCACAACTCCTGTGGTAACTTTCACCATTTTCCTTACGTGAGAGAGCAAAACAGTAAAGCCCCTCCTTCTGACAAGAATCTCCTTGGATTCCTCTTATCCCTTCCTGCAGTTTGGCCTTGTCTTTTGTCCCTCCACACATGGAGATGTGAGTGAAGGTTGATGGGTGGATGTGGACAACTGTAAGCAACAGAAGAGAGGGGACCCTGCTGGGGCCAGGTTTACCTGCGGGTGTTGGCTGGGCCTGGAACGGGGCGTGGCCAGCCGGAGGAATGCTTCCAAATGCAGAAGAGCTGGGGCTACTGCCAAAGGCATCAAAGTTGGCAAAGCCCCCGTGGGAAGGTGTCTGGCCTAAGGGGAGGAAGGAATACAAAGAAGCCATGCATCAAATGTATACACATCGACAATATCTACTAATTCTAAAGCCGAGGCAGCTCCATGGAACACCTGCCTTTCCAGAGTCCTCTTCAGAGGGGAAGGGTGGGGCAGAGAGCCAGGGGAAAGGGAATGTCATCTTTTTTCTTTCTCCATGAGGCATTAACATTTTTGAAGGGCTCAGTGTGAAAAAACAAAACAAAACTGTGTGTGGGAAGAAGCTCTAAAGAGAAAGGGAAACTAGATGACACTTTACTCATTTCTTTACTGACTCCTGCTGATCTCTGGGTAGAGGGGAGGGGAAATGGCACACATAAAACCCCCTTCCCCATTTTACATAAACAAAGTATTACAAAAGCTATTTCCAGGCTTCTAAAAAGGAAGTGCTAGGAGCCCCCACTGTAGTCCTCAGTGACCCAAGCCCCTAAACTGACCCCTGCTATACTTAGGTGGCTCTACCCCTCCCAGCCTCCACACTTCAAAATTACCATCACCTTTGTTCACAAAGAGCCAGAACCAAGTACAATTTGGTCACCCCAAAGAGTGAATTCCTTGGGTATATCTGCTGCAGGGAGGTTCTCATCCTGAGCCCGGCTTACCCCCAAAGGCTGGGAATGCAGCAAAGGTTGGTGCCACCTGGGGGGCGGCAAAGGGGTCTCCACCGATGTCAGCCAGCAGGTCAGTGCTGGCTTTCTTGACTGAGGAGTGGGCAGGTGGCTGAGAGCTCCGGGGTTGGGCCGACCGTGCCTGAGACTGAGCGAGAGATTGGAGAAGGAATCACCAATAGCACTTGGATGCCCAGACATGCCCCAGGCCCTCCTCCATGCGGCTCCTCTGGCTGCCCCTGCAGTGGGCAATGGTGAAAGGAAAAGAATGTGAAAGTGCCCCCAATGGACAGGTTTCCTGGGCAGTTGCCCGGGCCCTCTCATACTCACTTTTCTGGCTTCTGGGTACACCAAGTCCCACACTATACACCATAGAGCATATTAGTCAAGATGGCCCTGAGATACACAGGGACACAGTCTCCTGGAGCTACAGCTCACCTTCTGCAGACACCCCTCTCTCCCAACTCCAAATAGTGAAGGGCACATCTGAGAGTTACCTGGCTAGAGGTGGAGGCAGCAGCTGAGAGAGATGGCACAGGATCACCCAGAAGTGTCCGCAGGGGCTTCCCATCTGGGATGGAGCCCTGGATAGGGGTGGAGGCACTGCCTTTGGTATAAGTGGGCCCCTTGACTTGGTCTGGGGGGACATACCTTGGAGAAAGAATAGTTAGGCTGAAAGGTGAAAGGCGAGGGGTAAAATGACCATGCTTGGCTTAGATTCTTGGGAAAACAGTTCAACTCCTTTCTCAGTTTTCTCTGCCAATTCCTCTCTTTTAAATGAAAGAGTGGGGCCTCTCTGATGACCTAAGGGTTAAATCTCAGTGCTATCACTGTTGGGCCTGGGCTTGATCCCCAGCCAGGGAGGTGGCCCACATGGCACCGCAGTCCTCTCCTGTCCTGCCTCCTGTTCCCCTCAGCAGTGTGTTTCAGTAGATCTGCCTGTTCTGCTTCCCATCCTATCTCTGGTGAATCCTCTCACCCCCTGCACCTCTGTCCTGCACCTTAGTTCTTTTATGTATAAATAAATAAATACATCTTTTTTGAAATAAGTAATTTAGCAAAGTTCTGCCCATCTGAGTTTCCATCTTACTGTCAGCTGATCTTTTTTTTTCCTGGAGAAATGTTTAGTTTGCTCTAGCCTATGTCTCTTTTTCCCTCCTCTATGTGGTCACCTCAAACAATCTGAGTTTCAAATAATAATACCAGCAACTAAACTGATGAACAGGCAATCCTGCTTTCTGACTTCCTACTCTAGGTCCTCCTTCCACTACTTGATGTGTGGCCTCTATTCTGGAAATATCTTCTTTATCCTAAGGAGACCCCTAGCTGGGACTCCAAAATGCTTTCGTACTCACACCCCTTGCTCTGTGCATTCTCTTCTCCACACAGTGGCTACTCCCCAACCCTTCAGCACCCCTCTTGTCACAAACACCCCAGAGATCAGAAGTGAGAAAGTGACACCCAGAGAGAGAAAAACAAGGGTGAATAGAGATGCTGTTCTCATCAGGAGGACAGGATACATACAAACTGCAAAAGAAATGATGGGTTATAGGACATGTGCTTCCAGCCACCTCCCCTCTGTGTAAGATCACTGAGGCATGAAAACTAACCCCACTCTCACAGGCCTTGCTCTCTTCTCCAATCAAGCTTCTCTCCCCAAAAGAGGGACATCAAAATTGCAAGGTTAGTGATTGGGGAAGAGTTGCCCTTTCCTGTTTATTATTAGAAGTCACAATTTAGCCCTAACTGAATCTGAGTGGGACAGATTCCAATACATCTAGCCTTTGAGAGAAGCCCAAATTCAACCGTAGAAACTGGACTGTCAGATGAAGTATTTGGACACGTGTCTCCACAGTAATTTCTTTCCTCCTCCTTACCATCTCTTCTTCTCATATTTTTCCTGGAGGAACTCTTTCACCTTCTGAGGATCCCTGGAATCTGGTATTAAAGAGGTCCGAGCATCAAAAAGACCCAACCAAATCTTCCTGCAAACCTGGAGGAGGAATTGGAGGTAGAAAGCATGAACTGGCAATGACAGCACCTCCAATTTATTCATCAACAAGGGTTTGAGCATGGACACAGTATGAGCATCTAGGTAGTCCTACGAAGCAGACCTGATAAAACTGACGAGCGCCTTAGCGAAATAAAAATAAATGTACAATATGCATTAATCACAACTCACTAAAGGGAAACGGAATGCCATGAGAATTATGAGAAACCAAATTTGAATGGAGATAGGGTCAGGGACACTTTTCAGGGCTGAGGTTTCAAGGACACCCTCCAAGTAAGACAAAGCACCCACCAAACACCAAGAAAGCAACTTCCCACCAATTGAGTTAGATGGGGAAGGGGTTTAACTCACATTCACAAAAATGTGGTGGACTGACAGGTGGCTTGTTTAGGCTCAAGTCAGCAAAGCTGACTCCAGGACATCTTACCCAAAGGGCCCAGTCCAGTCCACCTGGAATGCGTATCTGTGTGGGGCCCTCCCCCTTTCCCTGCATACGTGTCCAGGGGTCACGCCACAGAGATGTTGCTCTTTCCCAGATTCCTCCATCAAGGGGCTCACACAAACACGACTGGGACAGGCATACCTTGTTTTATTGCACTTTGCTTGCTGCACCCTGCAGACACTGCAGTTTCTACAAATTGAAGGTTTGTGGCAAGCCTGCATTGAGCAAGTCTGCTGGCGCCATTCTTCACCAGCACAAGCTCACTTTGTGTCTCTGTGTCACATTTAATTAAGGTCTGTTCACTGTTGTTTTAGATGCAATGCTACTGCACACTTAAAGACGACAGTCTAGTGGGGACATGATTTTGCACACACTGGGAGACCAAAAGCATTCCTGTGACTCGCCTTATTAACGGCCTTTGCTTTAAAGAGGTGATGTGGAGCAGAAGCCGAGGCATCTCCAAGGTATGCCTCTGTGAATATTTAAATGAACACAAGACAAAAAAGCTTACATACTAAAAAATAGGAGGCACTTGACCAAAAGAGAGAACTGTAGGGATTTTCTATAATGTTGAGACGAAGCTCTGCTGGCAAGAAGGCAGCTGTAGTGGGTTACTCACTTCATTGCCCCGGGACTGCAGGAATACTACTTCAGGCTCAGTGAAAGTTGTCATGGAGATGGACTTGACTCGATGAGGAGGGTTCAGGCCTCGCCTGTGGGAGAGAAATGGAAAGACAAAGTATAACATGGTTAGCACTGCAGGTCTATTTGTGGGAAAGGGAGGGAGGAAGGATAAAATAAGACATCAATTAAGTTCAGATAGAACCTTCTGCCTGAAGCTGCTTCCTAATTCAAGGGAAGAAGGAAACAAGAATATTGTGGAGGCTTCTAAAGAGACAGGAACCACAGAACCAGGAACATATTGTGATTTCAGTATTGCAGAGGGAAAGGGAGAGGCAGCCCATCCAGAAGCTTCCTCCTACTCTGGTTCAGACCCCAACAATGTTGTTGGGCAGCCAGCAGGGACGTTTCTGGAACTCAGAGTTGGAGTCTCTTCCATTTGTCTGCTTATCCTGGCCCTTCACCGACAGCACATCCTCAAGGTCCCAGGGTCCGCAGACACCAAGCCCACAAGCCTGAGAGAGGCCAAATGATGCTCGTGACGGCTCCTGACGAGACTGGCAAAGATAAGCTCTGGAGACAAGAAACAGTCCCTAGGCAGGATGCCCCTCTTCTGGTCTACTGAGAAGGTTGGCACAAAGGTAGGGAGTCCCTTTCTTTCAAGGAGAGCCTTGAAGAAAATAAACGTCTCTGACTTTTTTATTTCTAACTCTTTCAACAAAGCAGGAGAAAGCCAAGTACAACCATGAGGTATAAGAGGGCACGAGTCAGGAACATATACCCCGTAGAGATGCTTGTGAGTCAAATTTGTGAGTTCTGCTAACTGCCTGGGAGTCCACTTCTGCCCACAGAAGCCCTGCAGAGACCACAACAGAGAAGGCGCAGAGATTTCTTAATGGGACATTTGAGGCTAAGCCAGGAAAGGTTTCATAGATTCTCCTTTCCTTAGCCTTTGGTTTGACTCTGGATCTACTACCCTCCTTAGATTAAAACAGAACTGTCCAAATTAATACAAATACACTAGACCCTGGGACCAGGGTGAAAGAGCAGTCAGGCAGGAAAAACAGTCAGTGGAAGAGGCCTCTTCACACTTTTACTCTCCTGGAAACAGTAGGCAAATCAAGATGTGAAAATATAAGTAACCAGTAAAGGAGCCTGGCTGACAGCGTCAGGGAAAATGAGGGAGCAGGGAGAGATAACAAGATTCACCCAGTGGAGATGCTGGAGGAAGGTGGGGGAGCACATTCACACTGCAGATGCCGCCAGAGAATCAAAGCACCTGTCAGGTCTGGCACATGTGAGTGCAAGTGGGGGTGCAGGAAGGGGACAAATGGTACCACTGCAGAGTGAGCAAAATGGGCAGCTGCCCTTCTGGATGATTACAGGATTCTAACAAAGGACAAGACCCTGGAGGCTATAATTGAGGACATTTTTCAGCAATTCCACTGCTAGACTTTGAAGTAATGGGTCTTAAAGTAACTAGTACTTTAAAAGACAAGTTATACTGGCCCTCCCTGGTGGCGCAGCAGGTTAAAGCACTGCACTAGGAAGCTAAAGCCACTTCCGCATGAGTTCGATTCCCGCCTGCCCCGGAGGTGACCACATGGCGCGGCAGACCTCTCCTGACCCGCCCGCTGCTGCCCTCAGCAGTGTACTTCCTAGATCTGCCTGTTCTGCTTTCTGCTCTGTCTCTGGTGAATCCTCTCACCCTCCGCATCTCTGGCCTGTACCCCAGTTCTGTATGAATAAATACATAAATATTAAAAAAAAAAAAAGACAAGTTATACCAAAGAGGATGGATATGCTAAGGAAAGATAAGTACAGGGAAAACCAAAAGTAAAGCTTTGTTACTACATGCCAAACAGTAAATCTTAAGTTTGTTCTCCACTGAAGGGCCTTCTGGTCACGTTTCAGAGATATCCCAGTTTTCTCTTTTAAAGAGTCTGATGAATGACAGACTGCTTTTACAATCCTTCCCCGGCTCTTTCTCACCTTAACCACAAGGAACCCTGCTTCTCATTATGCCAGGCCTTTCTGAAGTCCACCCAAAGCAGACCTCAGAAAGACTTCTATGATCCTGGTCTTCTAACCTCCCACTAAAAAATATTTACTTTGCCAATAAGGCACTCTGTAGGTAGGATCTAGCCTTCTATCACCTGGTTCTTGCTTACAAGAAGGGCCCAGGGAGCATGAATATGAGTGTTTCTCAGGCAGTAAGGCAGCACTTAGACACACACAGATGGATGTTCGAGAATGTGGCACCAGAATCCTGAAGTGGAGGAAGGAAGAGAAATGGTCACCGGAAGATAAAAGGTATTATGTTTACACTAGAATAGCAATTTTAAGCCAATCACAAAAAGGTCATTGACGTTTCCTGAAAGTCAACCAGGAAGTGTTAGTAAAGCATAAACAGGGAGGTGTGTTTCCTAGTGGCGTGGGGGTGGGGAGTACCAGGCTTAGGCATCACTCTAGAGGGGATGCTGCGCACAACAGAACTTCCTATGACTGAGCCTGGAGTGGAGGGGTTGTTTTTGGGTGGGGGGAGTGGGAAGGGAGGGGGTGACAGGATGAAGAGAAAATAAGAAGTGATTCAAGTGCTTAGGGCCAAGCGAATCTGATAGAACAGGATGTTTCCACAGCACAGTATAAAAGGCACTGCTCTGACCTTGATGTCTGTAGAGTAGACTTTGTATAACCAGAGCCACAGTTTGGGGGGCAGGGTGAATTCTCTACAAGGCCACACTCTGCAGCCCAGGAAGAGGCCTAGTTACACGGCATTTGTTTCTTGAATCACAGAGGGCACTGCTGATGGGAGCAGCACTGGAGAAACAAGAGCCCCCTCCCGTCCCCATAGCTGGTTGAGGGGTGCTGCGTCGTGTTGGCCGCCTACTGGGTCACACAATGGGACAGATGTGAGTCACTGGCTGGGAATTAAACAGACCTAGCTTTCAACATAACTCAGGTTCTCCCCCAAGAGAAGTGAAAGCTTGGAGGAGACAGTGCCCTTTAGTTATCTCAGCAAATCCACTGTTATTTTGAACCAAGAGGTGCTGGGGACATAGAAAGGCACATTTATTTGCCTAGACTAGGGCAACTTTTTCCATTTGAAAGCACATGGCTGACTAGGATCTAGACCTTCAGCCCATCGATGATGTCTTTTGTGACTTCAGTTTCCTTTTCACAGGCACCTAAATGACATTTGAAATCCTCTGAATCACTCTTGAAGGCCTCAGAATTACTCAGCAAGTAAAGCACTTGCAATAGATCCTAGTGTGTCTAAATTTTCTCACTTTGCCTCTCTCCCTTTGATGTTGTTAAGCATATTACTATTTATACAAATATCTACCACACCTTTTGTTTTGGTATGGTCATCATTCTCAAAGTGGCCCATATTTGGCTTCTACCTTGCTTCATAAAAGCTTCAAACCTGCTCAGCTGCTCAGATAAAGAAGGTTCTGCCAGGTCAACAATGGAAAAAAACAGTTCTACCCAGCACCCAACTTCTTTCATTTGTGCCAAATTTGTCCTCGGGAATTCCTTGCCTCTGAATATTTGTGTTCAAATTCATACACCCCAGATTGTGTTTCATTGCTACTGAGATTTGACTCCTCTGCCTCTGAGCAGGGTTTGGTTCTTATCGTGGATCCAAACATCACCAGGAAGAGCCCCCATCTGGGCCTCTTAATCATCCCTAACAGGAAGGCTTCCCCTTTACTCTGCTCCAGGGTCAACTTCAGTAATTTCAGGAAGCCTCTTCCCAATCTAAATTCTCCTACTTCAACCCATTTCCTGTAGTTCCTCCTCAGCGACAATGATAAACAGCAGTCCTCTAAAGCAGAGCCCCGGAGAGAATCCTGAACCAGCTGCCTTCCTTTTGAGGCTCAACCTCAATCCTTTTACACCTCCCCTCCCCCTTTGGTAATTTATTGTTTTGTCAGGGGCTTTTCAAAATTGTCCATGGGTTCCTTGTGATGACATGCCTACATCTGTAATTTGGTGAGATTCTGCCCACATAGGTGAAAGGTGATGGAAGGACGAGAATGAACCTGAGCAAGGTGTATGTCTACTTCTCTAACCCAGACAACTGCATAAGTCATGAATTACTGAACAGCATACTACATACTCCCTTTCTTGGAGATAAAAGGGCTTCAACAAGGAACTACCACTAGCAAGTCATGGAAACTGATGCACAAGGGGTTGGGGAACTCCTTGCAAACAAGAGCCATCAAGCACATCCCTTGACAGTCAGCCCAGAGTTCTGTCCAGCTTAATCCTTAGACCCATTATCAGAATGAAGTTACCCAGTAGAAGAGTCAAACACCCACTGCTGAGACCGGAAGGATATGGATTAAAGGATGGACCCAGGTCAGAGAAGCATGTAACATGCTTTGGTGAAAAAACCTGGGTGTCAAAAGTAAGGCCCACACTGGATGTCAGTGGGACCTCAGGGCTCAACATCTATTTCCTTTCCAAAGAAAGTGGTTTATCCATTGAGGCACCCAGATAAACCAAAACAAAAGGAACATTTAAGCAACACTTTGGAAATAAACCCTTTTTTCTTTTTTTGGGATGTATGTATTATCAGAACAAAAGTTTTATATACAACACCTATTCTTACTAGATATATTCTGGGTTTTAAAAAAATACTATAATAGTTTATTTTTACATAATTTTGTGCATTTTTCCATCTCAGTTGTAATCCTCATTGGCTTCCCATCACCAAATCACCCATGTGCCATCACCAAAGTCCAGTGCATTTAATAAACCCTTTTTTGTGGCAATTTTTGTCCTGTCTTAGGTTCAACTGGTAGATTCATCCTCTAGTGGAAGAGTTAGAAATACAACTAAACAAACAAGCCTAAGTATACATTGGGGAAATAAAATGGATCTATATCCAGGTTAAGGAAATTAGGTATTGGCAGAAAACCAAGCGAATAAAACTAGGTCACATTTGGGATCTACGATTGTGGCAGCATGTATGTAAATTTAGAAATGGCAGAAACTAGCAGCATCTCTGCCAGGCCCTCACACCAACGCTGTGGGGTTTTGCTACAGCTGAGAAAATATTTCTCATTAAAAAAGAGAGAGAATGAGAATGAGCTCACATGTGCAGAGCTGAAGGTACAGTCATACTCCTCCACCAATACTAAAGTCTGAATTTTCCCTCAGCCCTCAGAAACTTCAACTTTGGCTGGAATAGTTAAACTTGCTGCATCAGTCACTGGTGCCAGCTGGGTACTTGGTAATTGTGTTCATCGCCTCCAAAACACACCGTCCCCTTAAGAGTCAGACATATTTGTAACATACTCAACAGAAAACTGACTTTCAAAATCAACCAATCCTGTTATCTCTTTCTCTGGTTAAGTATGTAATTTCGTCCTCAATAACTTCTTCCTTTTAACCTAGACCATCTCTTACGTTCTCATGTCATCATATCTCTAGTGAGCTCCCACTGCTTTCCAGCCCATGCTGAGCTTTCCTTTACTTCGTATCACTTATCACTACCTGCAATTGCATAATGACTTCTATACTCCATGGTCTCCACTAGGCTGTAATCTACAAGAAAGACTCAGTCAATTTTGTTTAGCAGTATAGCTCTAGTGCCTAAAACAGTGTCTGGGACATGACCACTCAAAAAATGTTTGTTGACTGACGGAACCAATGAAATGTATCACTTTGACTTACCACAATTTGCACCTCCCAGCACCACAAAAACCCAATACGTGGACAATCAACTGTGTAGACTTAAGATGTTGGCTGGTGTGTGTCACATGGAGCCATGCTTCTCCACTACGCCCCCACCCCTCTTCTGCAGCCAGCACTAAGCCCCACCTATCACATTCTGCCTACCACCCATCTGTTGGCTTCCAGCCCTCCCCACAGCACATCAGTGGACACAGGCAGTATTTTAAGACCTTTTTAAGAGCTTTATATGCTTTGCCTCATCCATGCTAATTAGAATGAAAAATGAGAAATACCAACGAACAAATGAGAACTCAAATGAATGAGTGAGAAATACCACCAGAATCTAGGCAGACAGTTACTCAGGTAAACTACAACTTTGTACAATTTCTTCTGGTATTTCTCTCCTTGTAATCTCAACGTGCCTTCAGTTCAGCTTCAATTACTGGCTCAGGTTCTTGATGCTTCACTCTTCTCTCACTGGCTGCTAATAAAGGGCTAGCCTAGCTTCTGATTCTCTAGCCACTAAAATATTCCCTAAAGTCTACTACCTGTAGATGGGGCCCTCCCTGGTGGTACAACGGGTGAAAGAACAGCACTATGAAGTATCTGCAGCCACTGCACACCAGTTCCATCCCCCGCCAGGGAGCTGACCCACATGGCGCAGTAGACCTCTCCTGTCATGCCCATTGCTCCCCTCAGCAATGTATTTCAGTCAATCTGCTAATTCTGCTCCTCACTCTGTCTCTGGTGCATTCTCTCATCACCCACACCTCTGGCCTGTACCCCAATTCTTGTGTGCCTAAATAATCTTTATTTAAAAAAAATTAAGACTACTACCTCTAGAATCACACCCTGAGTGAGCTCCCATCACATAATTCTTTACCAAAATACTAAGCTAATATGTTCTCTCTAGAATCTTTCTAATCTAAAGAAAAGGGCTAGTAGGTTTCTCCGACAAGGTCCCATAGGAATTTAACTTCCTAAGGCACTAAAATACATCACAGGCAGAGGCAGACCTCTTCAGTTGCTGCTCTATTAAACTAAACAATTCTTATGCCATAGTTGCCTCCACCCAAGTCTACTCAGGTCATAGGGATTTGACCTTTCATTAATGAGATCAACAATTATGACCACAAAGGAAAAGTGGTAAAGTTCTGCAAACTGTGTACTGATATAGAAGGAGTTAACATTTCCAGCAAAGAAACCAGGTTTTTAATATGTCCTAGATTCGATGGCCTCCCCTCTGTCCTGATTGAGGGATATTCATTATAGATGGAAATATTACCTATGGGATATTCTGCACCGAGAGTTGTAAAATAATGATAACGTTGTACTGCCCATTTACTTAGCATTTCAGTTTTCATACCACCACAGCTAACTGTAGGACCGTATTAACTTTTTTTTTAAACACTTCATAGGACCTAGACTCTAATAAACCATCAATTTTATCCTTCGGCTTCCCTAACTTATCTTTTCTTTCTATCATCAGATTTTCCTTTTTGAAACAGGATCTGTAGTAAGCTTCTCTTTCTTTCTACTTTATGCTATAAATATTTGTTCTTTTTCTCCGCAGAGTATTTGCCCCAGTCTTAAGTCTCTATCCTCTTCATTCATTTTTTTTAAAGATTTTTTTAAAAAATTTATATGTGCATACAGAACTGGGGTACAGGCCAGAGGCTCAGGGGCGGTGAGAGGCTTCACCAGAGACAGAGTGGGGAACAGAACAGGCAGATCGACGAAGTACACTGCTGAGGGGAGCAGCGGGCGGGTCAGGAGAGGTCTGCCACACCATGTGGTCACCTCCGGGGCAGGTGGGAATTGAACTCATGCGGAAGCGGCTTTAGATTCTCAGTGCTGTGCTTTAACCCGCTGCACCACCAGGAAGGGCCTCATTCATTTTTGTCTCCACCTCAACTTTTGATACACTTCTACTTGGGTACTCAACCATTGTCCCAAAAGCCATAATGGCTTGACCAAAGTCAAGTCTATCAAGTGAGGTTGATTAGAATATAGATAGAAGTTTGGCAAAGGAAGTAAAAATTGAGTAGAGAAATAATCTCAGACTGTATCGTAGGAGACATGGATCCTCATTTCTGGTCTGCCATGATAATAACTAATATCAAATAACAAGTGCTGAAAACTGCAACCCCCAGATGGCAATAGATAAGTTACTAAACCGCTTTCGCTTCTGTTCTCCCATCTGTCATGCAAGAACAATACTGCTGCCTCCTCAGCTCCTGAAGGTGTAAGGAGAGAAGGAAAACAAGGAAAGTGCTCCTTGTTAAAGGCAAACAAACAAACAAAAACCGCAAAACAAATGTGTTGAAGTCAAATTAATCTCTCCATAAACTTGTAAAAATAGACATACAGGTCTAGCACTAACCAAGCATCTAACCAAACAATCTCCTAAAGAGGAAGAAGGGAAGTACCTATATAACTAGAAACCTGGGGTAGATATGTGGCTGTAAATTAGCTCAGGCGGACCAAATACCCTGCTAGTGCTAAGCCCAAATACCCTGCTAGTGCTAAGTGCAGCATTACACATTCTATACATTATACCTCCTGCATCCCAAATCTAGAAAGAGTTGACAGATGCTATCAGGATCCAGTCATAGCAACAAGGTCCATACAGGTGTAAATCACTGGACTTAAGACTGGCTCATCTAGGTTCCCAGACCCTTGAATAAGCTAAGTTCCCTCACTGGGAAATCCTTCAGCATTCCTCTCTCTTAGATTTGAAACCTACCTCTGAGTATTATTCCAGATCAGATCCAGATTAGGGTCTGTACTTTAACATCAGAACCTAGCTCCTTACCTGCTACAATGTCTATGCTGTCAAACTGGGTTAAGTTACCTATATTAACTTGGTTTATCCACCTTACACTCCATGATGGGCACCAGCCAGAAGGAAGAAGTGTACACCTTGAGTCCAGCTTGCCTCTCCCTTTTCTTTTTGCCTTCCACCTCCCTAAAGTTCCCTTTAAAGGTATAGGTCATCCTGGGCTTTTTCAACATTTACTCCCTCTCTCCTCTTGAATTCTTCCCACTTTCAGTTGCGGTTCACCTGGCCTCCCTTCGGGAGTTTCTCCGTTCCTCTCCGGTGTCTTTCCTGTCCCCTGCAACGCCAACCCCAGCTGTGCGTGTCTTGTCTCCGTTCCTTTCCCCGTGACACCTCTGCAGCAGAAGACCCTGTCACCACAGTTAGCGCATCCTCCGGCTTCCACGCCCTCTCCCGCCTCTGCTCTTTGCCTGCGCCCCAGGTCTCGCTGTCCCCAAGGCCGACTCCTCTGCTCCTTCCCTGTCCTCCCCCCTTGCTGGTCCACTTACAGGAGGCCGGAGCAAGTGGTGCAGACGAAGCTGCCCACGGTGATATCCACGTAGGTGACCCCGCGCTGGGCGCACTCGAAGCAGTGGCGGTTCCCGGCCTGGCTGCAGCCGCCCAGTTCCCGCACCCGGCGACACCACACCTCCGAGGCCGCCTCCGCCTCCGCCTTCCCCCCACCGCCACCGGGACCTGGACCTTTCTTTGCGGCCATCACCATAGCTGCCCACTCTCTCCGACCTCTCTCCGCAACTCAGCTACTGCCCCTTCAACCACTGCCGCCTTCCCGCCTCCTCAAGCCGCCTCCGCACGCCGGGCTGCCCTGACAGTCGCTCCAAGCCTGCGGGCGTCTGCGCAGGGCTCCTCAACCCCCAGCCTCGCCTGTTCTGCAAGCTGATTGGCCAGGCCCCACCCACCTCTTCGCTCCCACTGGCCAGCCCTGGACGGCTCGGATTTCGGCAGCCACCAACGCTCCGCCCCCCTGCCTTGGGCTGCAGGCCTCTCCCATTGGACCGCAGAGACTCGGGCCGCGAGAACGGTGCGAGCCCGCAGCTCGTCCCGCCCCCTCTCGCCACTGACTCCCCGGCGTCCCGTCCCCTAGATTCGACTGGTGAGCCCTTGACACTCGGGTTGCAGCGCGAAATCTGATTGGCTGCAAAGTTAGCGCGCGAGACAGAGTAGGTGTCCCGCGCGTGCGCAATTCTGATCCTCCAGACCGGTGCCATTAATTCCCGCCAAATTTCAAAGGCTTACCCTTGGCATTACACTTTGGTGCACAGAGTCACCAAAGCAGAAGTGACCATGTGAGGAGCTAAGGGGAGGGCTGAGAGAAGGGAGCACTCAGAGGCGCGGGAGGTGAGAGTGTGCTTTGTAAATGCTATTTTTGTAAAACTACCTTTTGCCATAGGTGGGTTCTCATTTTATAGCCAACCTTAGGTTATATGACTGGCAATAGATCTCACAACTGGTTCAGATAGGAGTGTGCTTCGTTGATTTTAGAAACACTGCTATTTGTAGAGTTTTTGATCATTTACTTCACAAACTTCTTGAGTGTCTACGAGGTTTCAGGCACTGTTCTAGACTTTGGGAATACAGCAATGAAACGTCTTAGAATTCCCAGCCCAATGGAACTTACAATCTAGTTGGCAGAGGCAGACAATAAGCACGTTAAAAGATCATCAGTTAATGGTAAGGTGTATGCAGAGAATTAAGATGAGTTATTATAAATGAGAGTTACTTGTTGGATAGTTCAGACTGGTCAGGAGATCCATCTCTAAAGCAACACTAGGTTGAGACTTGAATAACAAAAAGGAGGCGCAAATGCAAAGGCCCTATGCCTTGGTGTACTGAAGTAGCAAAAAGGAAAACCGGAGTGATGAGTGCAGTAAATGAAGGCAGAGTAAAAAGGATTATACTGGAGTGGGACCAGACATTATGGATCCGTTCAGATTTTGAAGTTTGGCTTTTCTCCTCAGTGTGATGGTAAGCTGCATTAGTTAGACGTTGTTCCCACAGTGACAGAAAATTCTCCAGTAATTGAAGCTAAAATTCCTTATGTGAAAGACCCATGTTCCTGGTATCTGTTGCTCCTGGTATCTGTTATCTCACTCCTAGGTTTACCTCATGACTTATTCCAGCTCAGCTATCATGCCTGTTACAGCAACAGGGAGAGCTACCCTTCTTAGAGTATGGACCAGGAGACGGCACCCAGCTCTTTGACTCTCAGTGGTTAGAACTCAGTAACATGACAACACCTGAGTGCAAGGAAATGTATTATTTATTTATTTATTTATGCACACAAGAACTGGGGTGTAAGCCAGAGGTGTGAAAGGACCCACTAGACACAGAGTGGGAAGTAGAACAGGCAGATTTACAGAAATGCACTGCTGAGGGAAGCAGAGGGGAGGCAAGAGAGGTCTGCTGTGCCATGTGAGTCACCTCCCTGGCTGGGACTTGAACTTGTGCTGCAGTGGCTGTGGATAACCTTCTAGTGTTGTGACTTAACCCCTTGTGCCACCAGGGAAGGCCTGGAAAATATACTCTTTGAATTGGACCTTCATGTGCTCACCTAACTTCAGAGGTTCTTTTACTGAGATAGAAGGAGAGAAAGGATATTAAGACAAAACTACAGTCTGACACAGAAATCATCATAAAGTTCATAGTGGGGTAATTGATTGTAAGTGGATAAGACTAGAACTAGGACAATTAAGAAGTGAGTTCAGCAGTCCAGGTAAAAGGTGATGGTGGCACAGACAAAATAGGAGTGGGTTGGAGAAAAATAGACTGACACAGGAATGTCTTAGAGGTAAAATTCATGGGATTTTTTTCATGGATTATATGTGGACAGTTAGAGAAAGAAGAATTAATGACAACCTTTCTAGAGAAGTCCTACCCAATAGCACTCTTTGTGATGATGGAAATGTTCTGGTTCCGATTATCCAACATGGTAACTACTTGCTATATATATTGACCACTTGTAAAACTAAGAACCTGAAATTTTGGTTTTATTTTAATTAACTAGCATTTAGATTGAAATAGTCACATGTGGCTAGTGGCTACTACATTGCACAGGCCAACTCTAGGTTTTTGTTTTAAGCAGCTGAATGACTTACTGGTTCCCATTTACTGAAAAGGGGGGAACTGCAGCAGGAACAGGTTAGGCAATTCTGAGAGCCAGAAATTAATAGTTTTGCTTTGGACATCTTTATTTGAGGTCCTTGTGAGGATCTCAAGGATCTGACCAAGCAGACAGGTGGATTTATTGTCCAGCCAGAGCTGGGCGTATAGGCTTCGGTCATTAGTATATTTAAAGTGACTAGTTACTTGAAACCATGGCACAGGATGAGGTTGCTGAGGTGCAATAGGCAGCAGAGAAAAGGAGAGGGCTCAGAACTAAGCCCTGCTCTCACCGACATGTGTTCCACCTCTGTATCTCTCACAGCCACAAATACATCTCAAAGGGAGCAACAGCAGGTCACAGCCAGATATGCAAATGTGACATTTCAGGTCACTTTATTAGTTTTTAAATTATGTTTATCGAGATTACATTGCTTTAAAACTCTGCATATGCTTCAGGAGTACAGGTTCACACCTCTGTGATGCATCCTCTTACACTGTGTACCATCAAAGACCAAACCTTTTGCACCGAAGCCACCGAGTCCCTTCCCCCTTTGATTCCACTCCTCACCTTCTCTTCTGGTAGCTGTAGCTCTGCAATCAGATTTCAAGGGCTTATTTTGTTTTGTTGTTAGCTGTTCCTTTGCTTTCTTTTTTATATTCCATGTATGAGTGGAATCACCTGGTATTTTTGTTTTCTCTCAGGCCACTCTAAACAGTCCTACATTTCAGAGTTCATAATTTCCAAGGGCTGCCCATTCCTATAGTTTCTCATTACCTAAGGGTTATTTCTACCCTCCTAAAACCTGACACAAATTGGTAGTCTTAGCTACCAGCAAACCTTGATGTAGACAATAGTGGGACAAGAGAATTAGGGTGGTTAATATGGACCCCGTAGTTTTCTGTTATTTTGTGCCACTGGATGTGGTTGTGCAATCACAGAGTGCATCTTTTTCCCTCTTTTGTTGCAGGCCTGTCGAGGAGGGACAATCCTATGCCCCTTTCATGATCAAGGGGAACACAGCTAGCATGAGGACAGACACGCTTTTCTGCCATTGCTCTAGATTCAAGAGCAATCCAGAATGTCCAGGGAACCCTTCCTTACCGGACTCCTTGGTGAAAACACGTCACCCTTGCACAGTGAAGTCCACAGAGCATGAGTGCCTTGGGGGGAAGGTAAGCAAATATTTTTGGACAGAAAAGGAACAGTGAGAACTGCCACCCTCAACCCTTCACCCCACCTTTGATTTCTGGACCTCATTGTTGGCGATCATATATCACTTTCTACAAGTGTCCTAGCCTCACAGGTGTGGTCTCCTGGATACTGCTGGATCTGTTTTCAGAATACCATTTCATTGTTCTAGAAAGCCAGCTGCTTCTGGTGGATGGGAAATACGATAACGGTCCAGGGCTTGCCAATTGTCTATTTTCTTTCACTGGGAAAGAGCTTCTTGGTTGGAGACAATTCTATCTGACCCACCCTGTGCTATTATACAAAGTCAGTAATTTCAGGGATAGTGAAATAGGCAGGGGTATGACCTGTAGAGAAAGAAGTCACAAATACAGACTAAAATGTTTCTGCCAGAGTATATAAACCACCACACCCTCTATGAGAAAGGGGACCTGCCACTGGACTCCCCAAGGAGCCTGGGGCTCTATTATGTCCTCAGGACTGTATCCAGCCTCTTACTGAATTCACTTGCTATTTAGAATATTCTTTTTTTTTTCATTTAATTGTTTTTGATTTTCCAGGTAGAGATTACATTATCTTTACATAATGATAGTGCTATTTTTTTCCCCTGTCTCTACTTTCTCTTATAGAATTAAGATGCTTCAAAGTCTAGAAATAGTTAAATAATTGTATATTCCTGTTGGCCTTTCCAAGTAGAGAAATATCACAAGAAATCCTCCAAGAGGCTTTCTTTCCTGGGCTGTGACTGCATTCTGGTGGTGTTTCTCATTTGCTAATTGGAATGCTAATGAGCATGGATGGGGTAGGGCATTTATAGCTTTTAAGGGGTCTTAGCAGAGTACTGCCTGTGTCCAGGGGGGGTGGGGGTGGGGGTGGGGGGAGAAGAGCTGGGAGCCAGCAGGTAGGTGGTAGGCAGGAAGTGAGAGGTGGGGTTTGGTGCTGGCTGCCGAGTGGGGGGCCTGCCAGTCCTGTAGGCAGTGCAGAAACTGGCTCCAAGTGGCACTACACCATTAACACCATGAAGTAAAATGGTCTCTTTAGTGAGAGTGTCTTTTTTTTTCCCTATAAAGCTTCATTTGGACTTTTGGATTAGCATCAGTATATGTTTTTTCACATAGAAGCATCCATTTATTCCCATTTTCTCTAAAACTTTTTTCTAGTTTTCTAATGCCATTTCTTATTGTGTCTGTTAATTCTTTAACCATTTTAACCACTCTTCCTACTATGTTGTTATTTTTTAATCGATTTATTCCATTGAATGCTTTCTTATTTTAATTTCTATTGACTATAATCAAAAACAGACCCTAAGAGCACTGTTAGCTAGATCTCATAGATTCTGATCTATTGTGTTTTTATTATTTTCTAACTGCTCTGTACTTTGATTTGTATTTATTGACTCAAGAGTTTCTTTTTTTTTTAAGAGTTTCTTTTTTTTTTTTTTCATTTATTTATTTATTTGTACAGAACTGGGGTACAGGCCAGAGATGTGGAGGGTGAGAGGATTCACCAGAGACAGAGTGGGGAGCAGAACAGGCAGATCGACGAAG